AGCAAATATGTTTGAAGATGAAATGTGCACAAATAACCTACATGGTTTGTGTCACAAAAAGCAAATACAAACTCTCAGCTGATAGATGGCATGTTTGAATGTTAACAGGTCCAGTGTTCAGAGGGAGCGTTCAAAAGTTTTCCCCTGATCTGAATCCTTAGGTCATTTTCTCTTTTTAGAAAATATATATATGTCCATGGTTCAGACGAAAGAACTCAAGACTTACTCTTGTATGTAGGGTTTTGTTGTTTTTGTGTGTGGGGGGGGGGATATGGGGACGCACATAATTCCCTTACTTTCCTATTCAGAACTTCCTGGGGTTTCTTTTACAGGCTACTGCATATACAGTAAACAGCAATAATTCCTTTTCAATGTTATTTCAGATACATGCTATGTGCTATCATTTGCAATCATTATGTTAAATACTAGTCTACACAACCATAATGTAAGAGATAAACCAACAGTGGAGCGGTTTATATCTATGAATCGTGGCATTAATGAAGGTGGGGACCTTCCAGAAGAACTGCTACGGGTAAGTCGCATTAAGATGACCAAGTGGAACCTCCTGGTTTTTGAACTGGGGCTTAGAAGCAAGTGCAACGATTCTCAGACCAATCTGTCAATTAGTGTCTCAAGATCATTTTGTGTGATGCAGCTTTGACAACCAAGTACCGTGAGCTTGCGACATACCTCAGCCTCTTGAGGGACTGAGAGGAAGAAACACCTTGCTTCACTCAACAAGCAACCTCTTTGGCTTTTTGAGCAATGTTGATTGGATATATCGCTACAGCCAGTCTGTCTTGATTGGAATCTGCTCTGTTCAACATAAGGTTGAGTGTGGGGAGAATAAAGGGGGGAAAATAGTAGAGATCACTGAGGATCCAAAGATGACCATCATAACATACTGTGGAAGAAAAGTAATGATACAAAGATCTCAAACATTTTATTGAGATGTTCAAGTTAGTGATGTCTAATATTTTTCAAAAACAATTTTTTTTTAGTGAAGCTTGTATTGAAAAAAACTATTGAGAATATGAAAGCTCTGGAAAAAATGAGTGCCAAACTTCTTAAGAAAACTATTTCTTTACTGACAAATACACAGGAAATCTTCAAAAGGGGACACTTATTTGCAAAGAAACTATATCTGCTTTTAACTTACTTTATTTGTAGACTGTGGTGAATACTGCTTAGAGGAGGAATGGTTCCAGTTTCTCTGGGAGATGTTCCTAGTTCATTTGTATATAAGTAGTCAGAGAATGGAATCTCTTGGTTATTTGATGTACATGTTGCTGAATTTTTTTTGTTTTCTTCCAGAATTTGTATGAAAGTATTAAAAATGAGCCATTTAAAATTCCAGAAGATGACGGAAATGATCTAACACATACATTTTTTAATCCAGACAGAGAAGGTTGGCTACTGAAATTAGGTTAGTAGAAGAGCAATTTCTATAATACTTTGCTTTGTGTGTGAGTGATGTGTACGCCACTTTCCTTGCTAACTGCTTTGTTGTAAATCTAATAGGATTAAATTAGTAATAATTCCTGCTTAAAAACATATGATCTAAAAATCAATAAATCCTTTACACTGTTTTGTGTAATTGCTAATTCTGAGAAGTATAAAAAGGAGACGTAATCTTGTCACTTGAATTTTGAAGTGGAGTTTGATTTCTGGTACGTGAGAACTGAAACCTCAGCAGCAGAAAGGAAGCTCCATTTACTTTTTACAAATCCCAGTGACTGAAAAATAACAAATCTATGTGAAACCATTCCAGAAAACTGTACAATCACTTCAGCTCAGTTTTCTGCACAAAAAGCAATGCATTTATTTTCAAATAGTTGTTTTTGTATGTCTTCATTTTTCCATATTATTTGTGAGTTTCTGTTGGTTTGGTTTTGGCTATGATTTTTAATGAGTGGTTTAAATGTGCCTTCTTGTTTTCCTTATGGCCTATGACCTATCACCTTTCTGTTCTGTGACTGGCTGTCTCTGCTTATTCTGCATTAGGAGGTACGTACCTGATGGCTTTCCAGCTCCCCCCCCCCCTGTTCAGTTGCTCATTCTTTTTTTATTTTTCTTCTTCTTTGTTTGTTCCTTAAATCAAATTTATTGTAGCACTATGCTTTTCATGTAATGTCACTAACTTTAGCCCCAGTGGGACTTTACTTGTACATAATGTATGCTTGTACATTATGGTGTTAATAATTTACTATCTCCCCCCTTGAGATTCTTCTGCAAAATAAGACTATATACTTTGTAAAGCAACGCAATGATAGCTAGTGTTTCAGATTGCTTCACAGCATCCTTCAGACTCATTGAGGTATACAAATGAGAGGAGTACTTTTCGCAGCAGAGAAGTGCAGTTATCTTATAACACACGTTCTAAAATATGTTTTGTTACTCGTATGAAAATTTTCTGTCAGAATGTTGAAAGGCTTATTTTAAACAAAATAGCCTATAGCTGAAATGTGCATGTAGTTACTCCATAATAACTTTCTTGTATGGGTTTTTTTGTATTTAGTTTATTTTAATTAAATATAAAAACCCCTCAGAGTTCAGGATTCTGAAGTCTCTGGCAGTTTGGACCATGCTGGCACTGCAGCTCTAAGCTGCTCTGATTTTTTTGCAGACACTTTTGAAGTTGATGTGGCTTGCTTATCCATTTGAGTTTAATGAGGGAGCCAGCTGCAAAGGGTAGCCATTTTCCTGATTAGAACAGACTCTAAAACTTGGTTCTAGTTTTTTTAAACGTTCTTTGTTTTGTTTTAAAAGCCTGATTTAAAGACCAAAATCTACTCAATTTCAGAGCCAGATTCTGGCTGCTCTTGTATAAGAGGAACCTTGCGCCAGCTCAGAGGCAGCCAGGATCCTGATGATCCCTGAGTGCAAGGTCAGTGGGAATTAAAGAGCAGCCAGCAGCACTAGATAGAGGGGAGGTACACTGAAGGCAGAGCAAGGGCTCACCTCCATCCATGCTAGCTAGACGCTGGCACTGGCAGGAAATACAAGGATTGAGACACTCCCAGGGGCTGTTCCAGAGCTGTTCAAGAGCACTGGACCTGTGAATCCGTGACAGCTGGTTGTGGCACCCTTGGAAAAAAGATGTAACAATGATAGCTACTGCATGTGCTTCCCCAGCTTCTCTGTCCTCTGTAGGCAGAATGCCTCCAGCCACAACAGCTGGTATGGTCTCGTATCATGCTGGTTTTATAGGAACTGATGTGAAAATGGCTGTGGATTGTAGATAGATGTATTAAATATTGATAGGAACTATTATGTAGTGATATCCATAGTCCATAAATTCACTCAGTTCAACTTTTTACTTCTGCTTCTGTGCTAGTAACAACCAAGTGAACGGAAGAGTGTATGGGCACAAGTGCTTTGGCCGTATCCATTTATTAAGAATACATTCTAATAAGCTCAGCAATAGGGGCCACCTCCCAAAATATTGTAGCCTTGAGGGGAGAGCTATTGGACACATCGCTAATTAGCTACTTCAGGACCCCATAGTTTCAGGTGTTAAGCACCTTCAATTTCCATTGACATCAGTGGGAGTTGGGGGTGCTTGGCACCTCTTGCAATGGGGCCCTTAGAACACAATGCCCGGAGCAAGGGCTGCAGAGGGCCATTTAAAGTGGAGACCCCCATAAATTTTCCCTCCTTGCCTGACCCCTCTATTTCCCTCTGAGGTGCCTCCCCCACTAGCAGCCTGGCCCTCCTTCCCGTGAGCCCTTATACGCACTCCCTCCAATTTGAGTAAGTGGCATTGCAAGCTGTGGGTGGGGTTACAGCACTTGTCTGGTTTGGCCTGGCCAAAAAGTGGTTGGGCCATTGCCTGTGTGCCCCTCCCGCCCCCCAGCTATGTGGCCTATGGCTGGAAGGCTTGCTGTGTGGTTGTCTCCATTACTTCATCTGCAGATGTTACGAACACTGCAAAATCCTCAAATACCCTCTTTGTGTTCCTAAGTAAAAAAGCAGAGCCTCTTCCTGTTGATGTTTGAAGACATAAATGGCTTAACAGGCACAGTATTCATAGTTGAGACAATTTGAAAGATGACTTGAAGAGCTGATACATTATCCATTCAACAGTATGTGGCAGTGCTCACCTCAACTGAAAGGATTTCTTAAGACAAGACTTCAGGAACGAGAAATATTTTAGCACAAAAACCATCCAGATAAGTCTGTTACCACTCAAAATATTAATATTACCTACAGTTTTTTAAAATCTAAAACTTTTGATGTTGTTTTTTAAATAGATACAAAAATTTACTTGCAAATACTACTATGCAATAACTTTACCTTCACCAGTTGTGACTTTAATTTACAGTAGCTCCCTTTTTAAGTTACTCCAAGGAGTAAAACTGTTATAACTTAATTGTATAATATAGAAGATATTTATTTAATCAGACTCCTCTACATGAAAAAGTGCTATGAGAAATAGTGCTTTGAGAAATAGCTCATAATGGAAATAAATCTCTTAAAGGTGAAACATAAAGGTAAACAAAAAATACGGGTGTTTTTCTTGAAATTAAAATAAAGATCTGGAATCAGCAACTATTTTGGAGCTAAATATTTTATTTATTTTACTTTTAAAAATATCACCTTGCAATAAAAGCGATTGGATGTGAGCATGTCAATGATGTCATGAGTATTTCTTATCCACTGTCAATCAGTGGGGAAGGACAAATTGAAGGATGAGGTAAAGCATCAGCTGCAAAAGAAATAGTCAGTGAAAAAAGAATGAGAGCTTTAAGAAATTAGAGAAGCAAACGAATTTTCAGAAAAATACAATAAATCAATAAAATCACCATTTATTTCTGGGTGCTCTACCTGTGGCTCCAGTGACACATGAACCAAGTAAAACCAAGCTTTCATCTAGATGTGCACACTAAACAAATAATCCTACCCAGTCCCAGTGATAAGATAATGTATTAAACTGAAAGGTGCTGCTGTTGAAATGCCCACCGCACAAGGGTTAATTGGATAGGGAGGTGAAACATGTCAGTAATTTTCCTGTGAATTAGACTAAATATGTAAAGCCTACTGTTCCTTGAAGGACTGAGTTTCATCAGTAGACACAGACTAGTGCAGACAAATATTTTTGCTAAGTTAATGAGCTGTAGAGCCATGAATGCAGTTACCAGAAATAAACCTGGTGATTTTTTTTTTCTCTTTTATCCCTGAATTTTCTCATTGCCAGGAAGCTTGTCCAATATATTAGTATGATGTATGGGGATATTGTGACTCCCAATGTTAAAGTAGTGTTAAGTCACATTCTCTCTTAGCGCATTGTATTATTCCTAAATTAGCGAGGCCCTGCCTAAAGAAGGATTTGAATATTCAAACATTCATTATCAAAATACTAAGGAGTCTTGATTCATATGAGTAGGAAAAAATGAAGATGATCAGTTGTGCTGTTATCTGCTTTACACTTGAAGATAGAAAGTATGTTTTCTGAAAAAATAAGAGATAACAGGAAGAAGCCACTGGTATATCAAGCTAGTGCTTTCTGTTTTGTCTTGTTATAGTGTCTGCTTCCTTGTTTTCTTCACTTAGAACAACTGCTCACTTCACTGCTTATGTTAGTATTTTTTGTAAAGTTTATCTGCCCAAAAACTCCAAGGTCTCCAAAGGCCGGTCTGGCTCTGAAACCATCCTAATAACGTCATTAAAGTCCCTGGGCTGCAAAACACTGTTTTTCTGGGGGCTTGCCTGTGGAAAGCTGTTCAGAGGTGACTGTGTGTAAATAAAATCCTGCCAAATCTAAGTGCCAGAACTGGACTTCAAGAAGTAATGTTTTGATTTAGAACATTGGTGTGGATTCAACCAATGCATTTGTATAGAAGTATTCAGCTTGCTCTCTTAACTCACAAGATTGTATGCCTTCTAATGTGGTACAGTGAACTTCTAAGCGGCAAGTAAAGTGGCTGAAGACTGTGAATGCTAATCAAATATCCTTTGCAACAGCTCGAGACATTAGTATTTTGGGGACTGTTCTCAAGATTTTCATAAGGATTAATTATGGACCAAATAAAGGAATTGTTGGTTCAAGGAGAACCCCTTCCCTCTCCAATTAAGAATTTAAAGCTGGACATGAACATTGATGGAGGGAATGCCTGGGACATAATTTTTTTGTGCCAGGATGTGTGTGTGCTTTCCAAGAACAGCTTCTGTTGGCAAATAGCTGACCCAAAATGTCTGGAACTAAAAAAAGTTACAATTAATGTGGCTTGAATCATTTCCTTTTTCTGGTTAGAGGGAGAAAAATAGATACTTGGAAACAAATATATTGTCCTGCTGACAGAAGAGGGAAGTAACTTAAGCTGGACACGTGACGATGAGTGACAGAAGAAGCTGCTCCTACACTAGGATATCAAGCAACTCACTGAGCATGTGTAGGGATTCTCAAAGGGCCCAGACTTCCTAGCCCACTCTGTACATGGTACTTGCCCCCAGCACAGCATTCTATAGAGAGTGCTACTTCTCTTCCCGGACTGGTGGCTAGGAAACTGGCTTGTGGGGCTCCTTTCAGTTGAATCATTCTCTTTATAGCTGATGTGCTTTTAGTCTTATACAGTACAGTATTACTGGACAAATCTTTCTTGTGTGTGGAAACCCGTACTCATGCCTAATCCATTGTGTACCTCTTCCAGGTACTAAATTAGCTTCTGAACCTTTGCATTTAACTGCACTGAAATTTAATTAATCCAAAATCATTTAGTCTTTTTTTATGACAATTTTAGCCAATTTCTAGTTCTCTAAATCTTCTTGACTGAGCTGGATGTGCTGAAATTGCTGTTTAAAAAAAAATTTTTTTACACCTGAAATACATAATTGTCTTATTCTGATGCTTAGGCAATTTTAAGACCCTTTAATATTTTTAATTAACTGTGATGGGTAAATTATTACTTACTTCTCCAACTTTTTTCCCCTATAAATTTTCTTTTTGTTTTCTGGTTTCCAGTTCCCTTTGAGATGAGAGAATTTCCTATAATCTGATTATATAGGTGAAAAGGGCTGGTCTGTTGCATTTTTTTTCTCTTCTCTACATTCACTTGGTATAGATTTTCCTGATGATTCCCTTGGATTATCCATCTACTGGATCCTTTAAGCCTTTCTGCTCTCTGCTGCTTATTATTGGTGCTGTTCCTTTCATTTTACTTAATTAGCTTGGTCCTTGTGATGCACTTGTAGATTATATCTTAATCTGTTCTTTAAATACTTATGGTTTCATACTTTGTTTCCAGTCTCTCTTCTGACAATTTAATACCCTTTAAAATGTATCTTTTTAAACTGACAGCAGGAGTGGGATATAAAAGAAAGTTAATTCAAAGTGCTATATCATCAGTTTGGCAGCCTAAGGCACTTGAAACCAAGGAGAAAAAGATCTGCTATGTGATGGTTACTACTACCCAATAATCTTAAATGTGACATTATGATCAATAAGTCATGTTGAGCAGCTTATTTCCTAGTCCTGTGATATTGTGGTGGGTACTCTTGACTCACCTGATAAACTGGTGGGTGCAGAATGCCTGCTGCCCTTTATCAGCTGTCAAATGGCATATAATCTGCCCCCAAACTACTGTTACTTTAATTCTGGACACTACTAGTGTTGTTGAAGTCTGCCCTGTCTGGTTTTGGAGTCTCTGTACAGGCCTTCTTATAATGTGTATGGTTTCTGATCTGCCTTGTATTCTAATCTGACCTTGTATAAGAGTTCATAATTCTCCTTTTGTTATCTTTAGTCTAAGATGTCTTTGCAAGGGTAACCAGTTTCCCTGCTTATTTGTTTTTCTGAGACTTAATATCTTCCTATCCATTTTGCTCTACCACTTCCTGCCCCACTGAATCTCTTCATATACTAGATCTGGGCAAGCCATAAAGTTTTGGAAGGTAGTCAAACTCAAACAAAGCCAAGGACTTGGCCAACCTACAAGGCAAAACATGAGCTAAAATAATTTGAATTTACACTATATAATATGAAAAATACGTAATGTCACAATGACAACAAGGTAGAACTGCCCTAATAGTTACTTTGGCTGCTTCTCATTCATGGATCCAGAAGTGAGTCAGGCTAAGGTTTATTTTGGCTTTTCTACTTCTAGCTTAAACCCTTTCAATTGACTTTGATGGAAGCTGGAACAGATCCCTGATGCATTAAAACATTGGCATCAAGATGCAGAAATTAAGATCTTTCCTGTCTCTGATGTCCCTCACCACTTGACACCTGCTCTTCTTCCCTCATGCTTTGCGTTTGTAGCTCACTCTACCACCATTGATTCTGTCTTGGCTTCTGCATCTTGCATTTGCCTGTCTCTTAGTACTTCACCACTTCCACTTTCAAATTGTTTCCTTAAAATGGATGTATGTGTGTGGTGGAAGTGTACACTTTGCTGGGTAAATGTGAATGTTACATAGTGTTAGCAATGGATTACTTAATGGGGGTCCTATAACCAGCCAAAAGGAGGCTATGATGCATAATAATACCCAATCTGCAAGACACGAACCCAGCAGGCGAATAGATAAAGTTCCAGGATATTCAGGCTATTTCTATAATTGTTCTCTACCCTCAGATGTTTTTAATGGTTTAAACAAAAATGTAACCACTTTGAGTAAGGAAGAGCTACAGATAAAAATTATGTTTATATGCTGGATTTAGTTACATGATTGATGTTAAGATGAATGATCCCTGGTTGAGGGTGTGTTTGGTGGTAATAGATTTTTGTGCTCAGGGTATTCAATAACAAGGTCAACTATATTGAGAGGGTGGGGTAATAAGATTAAATCACTGATGAACGGATGATGCACATGGGGTGATATTACTTTGAAATCATTTAACTATGCTGTAACTCAACCTGTATATTATTAACTTGCAAATGCATGATCTACAGTTCTTTTCTGGAAACTGATTTTAAAAAATATTGGAACTGTAAAGAATTACAGAGATGTTTACGTGCAGGCTGAGCAAACATTTTTAACGGGCACTCAACCTGGGATCTGAAAGTCAGTCTGGGTTCTTAAATGACTTGTGCATCATCATGAGTCAAAGCTATGGCAGGTCAAATTCTGCCCTTAGTTACACCTGTGGAACCCCATTGTTGCATGGGTCTAAGTGAGGGCAGAATCTGGTCCTGCTGTCAGAACCTAGTCAACAATTCAGTAGATGATCCAGCTTCCTCTCCCCAGGTGTTGTTGATGCTGTACTGCTAATGGATAAATATTATTAATAATATAATTGTCACTATAGTAAGCAGATATGACTGAACACAGACAGGGAGCAGATCTATTCAGTAAGTACTGTTTTCACGTGGACTTATTTAAAAATAGAATAACACTAAGTTCAGAAGCTGTTAAGGTGGCATGTCAGCATCACCATAGTTAATGTTTCTTCAGGATTTTGTCCTTGAGTATTAGAATATTTACAGGGAAACTTAAATTCCTTTAACCTTAACTCATCTGTGTCTTATCCATTTGCAACTAAGCATTTAAGCCATATTTTAAAAACCATTAAACATTAAGTTTAATTAACGACTAAATTACTGTCTTATCCATAGCCTAGAATCTTGATGATAAAACAGTTTTAAGTTAGTGGTCTTCTATTTATAGGGGGAAGAGTAAAAACATGGAAGCGGAGATGGTTTATTCTGACAGATAATTGCCTGTATTATTTTGAATACACAACAGTAAGTATATATTGCTGTGACCCTGTGTCTGGAATCCAAAAGTTACTCCTGGGGGAATTTTGCACTACTGCACATGCACATAATTAATGAGCCACGCATACTTTTAATTTTTTGCACAAAAAAAGCTTCTGCTGAAATGTTGCTGCAGTTCTTCCTTTTGCCCACCAGAGGGCGCTGTGCTGATAGACCAAAGCGGCGGCTCCCAGCCAGCAAGGGAAGAGAGAGCCTGAAGTGCCTTTGTTGCAGTGCCTGCCAGGCCAGGTGACCGGGACTATGGGGATTCAGAGAGCATGGGGTTAGGGTGACCAGATGTCCCGATTTTATAGGGACAGTCCCAATTTTGGGGGCTTTTTCTTATATAGGCACCTATTACCCCCCAACCCCATCCCGATTTTTTTACACTTGCTATCTGGTCACCCTACATGGGGTGCTGGGGGGTGGTCAGACTAGGGCAGGGGATGAATAGGAGTGGAGGCACAGGGCTACAGTGGGGAGGGAGGTGCAGGGCCACATGGTGATGGGGGAGGGGTGCAGAGCTACATAGGGACAGGGGAGTGTCTGGGTGGGGGGACGGAGGGATGGGGACGGGGGACAGAGCCACAGGGGGAAGGGTGCAGGGCCACATGGGGATGGGGTTACACATGTGGACTGGGCGTACAAGGACATATGGTGTCTACATGGGGGAAAGCTCCCAAACAATCCATCCCCGCCCCCCAAATAAACCTGTTCCATACTTTTTCCACCCATACCCAACAACCCTTCAAGTTCCTTCCCAGCAGGCTCCTTCCCAGCAATTTACTTCCTTCTCCCTCATTCCTCCGTCACCCAACTCCTCCAAGCCTTTGCACTGCTTCTGAGGGGTGTGAGAAATACAGTTCTGTATTGTAGTTTAAATGAATTATTACTCAGAGTTCTGTATTAATATGCCTAGTAAGGAATCTATTTGTCAAAAAACATTTCCTGAATCTTTTTTTGTTGTCTGTATTGTTAGACATACTTGCTGCTGGGTATTTTGAAACAAATGACCAAAAATAATTGAAACTGGTATGATTATATTGTTATTTTGACAAATAAAATATGCAGAATTTTAAAATATTGTGTGCAGAATTCCCCCAGGAGTAAAAAGTATAACTGAATAGTAATGTGTACTCTTCCTGTCTTTTAGGACAAAGAACCTAGAGGAATTATTCCTTTAGAAAATCTTAGTATAAGAGAAGTTGAAGATCCTAGAAAACCAGTAAGAATGTTTTCCTTTTATTGAGCCTAGTAAATGGGTTATTTAAATAACAGCCAGAGTACCCAGGTTTAGTGTACATGCGGATCTTTAGTTCTTCCTTGAATCAAGCTTTGGTTATTTCTTTATCTTTAGAACTGCTTTGAGCTCTATAACCCCAGCCATAAAGGTCAAGTAATTAAAGCCTGTAAAACTGAAGCTGATGGTAGAGTGGTAGAAGGCAACCATGTTGTGTACAGGATATCTGCCCCCACCCCTGAAGAAAAGGAAGAGTGGATCAAATCTATTAAGTGAGTTCAAAGTCTTAAATGTCTTTCAAAAGTGCTGAAGTGTAAATTGTATATAAATTCCTTTCCAAATAAAGAATCCGGGAATGTGTGCTGTACTAAGGAACATGCCTTAAAGAACTACTTAAGCAGTAGCCATAGGCAATGGCCTTTCCTGAGGATTAATGACTAGCTGGAAGGGGTTGCTGGGGCAAGATGCGTGAAGCCAAATGAAGCACTTTGAGACATTATCATTCTGGCTCCTATGAACTGAAAATCAAGAAAATATGAGAGAACTTTAGTTGGCTAAAGAGCAGGGCCGGCTCCAGGCACCAGCTGAGCAAGCTGGTGCTTGGGGCGGCAGATTGTTGGAGGCGGCATTCCGCCCAATCCTAGGGCGGCACGGCCGCTTTTTTTTTTTTTCCCCCCCCCGCTCTGGCCGCCCTGTAGGGGGTGGCAGCGCGGAGAACCAGAGCGCCCTGCAGGGCAGTCCTCTTCCTTCCCTCCCCACCGACCGGAGTGGAGCCCTCGCGGCAGGGGCCGCGTGGCAGCGCCCCTGCTGTAGCCCTGGCCGCCCCCTTCTCTCTCTCTCCCGCCCGCTCCCTCGCGGTCCCCCTGCGGCCGCGCCGCAGGTTTTTTTTTTTTTTCTGCTTGGGGCGGCCAAAAAGCCAGAGCCGGCCCTGCTAAAGAGAAAAGAATGTAGCTAACTACCTGAAAATCTTGTTGCTGATTTTTGTAAGGATGCGTTTGTCTACCAACATATTACAGCTCTGGGTCTCTGGATATGGAAAAGTAAACAAATGTGTTTGGGTAATACATGTTTTATAAACTAAATTGATATCTCCTCCTCCTTCCACTAGAGCAAGTATCAGCAGGGATCCCTTTTATGATATGCTGGCAACAAGAAAGAGAAGAATTGCTAATAAAAAATAGCACTTAACATCGGCCACTTACGGACCTGCACTAGTTAATGTATAAATGGATCAAAGTCAAGTGATAAGGTAAAGTAAAAATGAAGCAAGCTGAATGAAAACAGTTATTAGAAATATATTCTTACATTATATCCCTTTGTAAGATCATCCAAGAAGATTATTATTTTGCATACGATACTGGAGCAAAATTCCCAAGGGACAATTGCAAGGAATGACTGTAATGGAATTTCATTTACACTAACTGAAAACATGGAAGCCTTATGTGCATTTTTATTTGTTGCAATTTCACTTTTCGGGGGAGAAAATATTTCAGGATAATATATTCTCCTGCCTGTTCCTTGAGCATATTGCCCATGACAGGAGATGTTGTAAGGACTTCGACAAACTAACACCTCACTGTAATACAGCACTCAGAACTGGTGTACAGGGCTACTCAGCACTTATTTTTCCTTATGCAAAAAAACCTTAATACTAGTTTTGAAAACATATGCTTAGCAATGCAGCAGCATTCTAACCTCACTTTACAGAAAATGAAATTCTAAAAGCTCATCACATTAGCCATTCTCCCCCAATGCTGAATAATATTAGCTTTAAAATATACCTTTTAATATTAGACTGTTATCGATACAGTTAACTCCTTGGCCCAAGCAGTAGGATGTGCACTGAAAATATGCAGCTACAAAGGCAAGGGTTCATGGGCTGAAGAAGTGACTTTGAGGACAGAGTTTTTCTTAAGCAGGCTAAACTTGGATTTGCATTATTATTACTGAGAATCTCTGATTTTGTATGGGTAAAATGCTCCAAAATTACACTGATTTTATTTAAAGAAGGGGCAGTGTTGTTATCTCCTTATTTGTGAGTTTAGCCCCATGAAAATCAATAGGATTACTTGTGTGAGTAAAGAGAGCAGTACTTGGTTAACAAAAACCTGGAATAAAGCAAACAATGTCTCTGTCTGCTTTGTTTTTAAACATGGCTTCTCACATTTGTGCTTCAGTGACTTAAAACTGGGGAGAAGAGGGAATATAGGGTTACCATTCATCCGGATTCCCCCGGACATGTCCGGCTTTTAGAGTTAAAAATAGCGTCCGGGGGGAATTTGTAAATGTCCGAACTGACAGGGCAGCCGTCCGGATGGTGCCACTTACATGGGTCTCCGACAGCCAGAGAGAGCTCCCCCTCCTCTCCCCTGCAGCTGAGAGCACTCCCTCTCTCCCTCCCCGCATTCGCAGATCACCAGCCGGCAGTTCGCACTGGCAGTCTGGAGCTCCACCCCCTGCTCCTCCTCCCCGGCACGCTGGTCTGAGCGGCAGGGTAAGGGGGCCAGGGGGTCGGAGAAGGGGCAGGGAGGTTCTGGAGGGGGCAGTCAAGAGACAGGGAGCAGGGGGGGGCTTTCTGGGGGTGGGGGTGTGGATAAGGTTTTGGGCAGTCAGGGTACAGGTAGAGGGTAGGGTCTTAGGAGGGGGCAGTTAGGGGACAAGGAACAGGGAGGCTTAGGTAGGGGGTGGGGTTCTGGAGGGCACTTAAGAGCAGGGGTCCCAGGAGAGGTAGTCAGGGGCCAAGGAGCGGGGGGGGGGGTTGTCAGGAGCCAGGGTGGGGAGAGGGATCGGAGCAGTCAGGGGACATGGAGCAGAGAGGTTTAGATGGGTCGGGAGTTCTGGGGGGGGGGGGTGTGGGGGGGGGGGGGATGGTTGGGTGGGGGGTGGGAGTTCCAGGGGTCTGTCTGGGGGTGGGGGTGTGGATAAGGGTTGGGGCAATCAGGGGACAGGTAGGGGGTAGAGTCCTAGGGGGCCAGTTAGGATGGGGGGAGGGTCTCAGGAAGGGGCAGTCAGGGGACAAGGAGCAGGGAGGCTTAGGTAGGAGTTGGAGTCCTGGGGGGCAGTTAGGGGCAGGGGTCCCAGGAGGGGGCAGTCAGGGGACAAGGAGCGGGGGGAGGGTTGGGGGTTCTGAGGGGGGCAGGAAGTGGGAGGAAGGGGCAGGGGCGGGGTGGGGCTCCTCCTGTACTCTTTTTTGCTTGCTGAAATATGGTAACCCTAGGGAATAGAAAACCCTAATTGTTAGATCTCATGCCATCAACTCTACTAAAATACTTATCTAATATAACCATTTACTTTCAAATATCTTGATAACTGGTTGAATGTCTTTTGTGGTACAGGAACTCCTCACTTAATGTAGTTATGTTCCTGAAAAATGTGACTTTAAGCAAAACGATGTTAAGCGAATCCAATTTCCCCATAAGAATTAATGTAAATGGGGGGTTAGGTTCCTGGGATATATAGATATACACACACACACACACACACACAGTATAAGTTTTAAACAAACAATTTAATACTGGTACACAGTGATGATGATTGTGAAGCTTGGTTGAGGTGGAGGAGTTAGAGGGTGGGATATTTTCCAGGGAATGCCTCACTGCTAAATGAACTAGCAATTGACTGAGCCCTCAAGGGTTAACTCAGGTTCTACGAGGCAGCAGGAAAGGAGGGAAGGCAGACAGACACACACACCCTGTGTGTGAGAGAAAAAAATGCACATTTCCCCTTTAAGTAGCTGACCCCAGGCTTAAGTACACTGCCCTGTTAATTAAATTAGCTTGCTGAGACCTCCTGAGACAGCAGCTACTGTCTAGAAGCTCCCTCCCTAGTGTGTCTCTTCCCCCCCTTCCGGCTCTATGGAAGATGGGGTAAGCGGGGTGCAGGAGCAGGGGGGAGGGAGAGACACCCTGACATTAGCCCTCCTCTTCCCCCCGTACAGCAAGCAGGAGTCTCGGGGAGCAGCTCATGGCAATGGGGGGAGGGACACAGCTGAACTGCAGGCAGCTGCTGCACAGGGAACTTAGGGGAGTGGGGAGCTGATAGGGGGGCTGCTGGTCCACCCTGGTTCCAAGCCCCCACCAGCTAGCTGCAATGGGCTGCTCTTCCTGCAAGCAGTAGACAAAACAGGTGGCTGCCAAAAGACCGTTAGAAGGGAGCATTTCACAACTTTAAATGAGCATGTTCCCTTAATTGATCAGCAACTTAACATCGAAACAATGTGAACCGGGATGACTAAGTGAGGAGTTACAGTCTTCCATGAGATATTCCTTCATAACATCCATTATCTAAGACACACAAACTTATGGTCCAGCCTGCTTTATTGAAACATTTTCTTTTCTAAATTATACAAAAATCTTTCATTGGGGCAAAAATGTCTTTTAAATTTAATTTTATGATGGAAAAAATGTTTTGACCCTGCTCCTGTGTTCATGCTCTTGTAGCTTTCCATATATTGTTTCAACCTGAGCCATGGCATCTGTGCCATTAGTACTTTAGAGCTTCCATATCTGGACAAAGAAAACACAGCTGTTGACTTAAACCTACAAAAGCAACTTTGACTACAGTGTAGGGATTTATTCTGCACTGGGAGATACATGGACAAGATTGCCTATAAGTCTTTCATCTCTAACTTCAATAAAAGCCAAGGCTTCCATCTTACTAACTTACCTTGGGCTATGTGGAACCTAAGATCAGCATATGATTACTGTAGGCACTGTCTGCCTTCAGATGGGCTGATAGAAAAGACTAGAGAAGCCCACACAGCGAATTTCCTTTTTTGATTTTTTTTCCAGTTGTAATTTCTTTAAAGGAGTATTAAGGTTAATGCTCAGTTATGACAGCTTTGAAACCATGGGGGAGGGGTGGCATCTCCAATCCATGGAGCCAGGACTTCAAGGCTAGTTGTGGACTCGGTGCATAATTGGAACTTAAAAATTAGAATATTCCACTGCACAACTCTCAAATCACAACCTGTTTCTCCTCTCAGCCCCCCTACTTTAAAAAGTCTAACTTAACATAGAAAAGTATTAAGGCTGTCAAGCAATTAAAAAAATTAATTGCAATTAATCACACTGTTAAACAGTAATAGAATACCATTGGATGTTTTCTACATTTTCAAATATATTGATTTCAATTACAACATAATACAAAGAGTACAGTGCTCACTTTATTTTTTTTGATTACAAGTATTTGCACTGTAAAAAACCAAAAGAAAGTATTTCAATTCACCTAATACAAGTACTGTAATGCAATCTCTTTAGCATGAAAGTTGAACTTACAAGTGTAAAATTATGTGCAGAAAATAACTGCATTCAAAAATAAACAATGTAAAACTTTAGCGCCTGCAAGTCCATTCAGTCTTACTACTTGTTCAGCCAATCACTCAAACAAGTTTGTTTACATTTGCAGAAGATAATGCTGCCCGCTTCTTGTTTACAATGTCACCTGAAAGCAAGAACAGGTGTTCTTATGGCACTGTTGTAGCAGCGTTGCAAGATATTTACGTACCAGATGCACTAAAGATTCAGATATCCCTTCATGACCAGACAGCAAAAGTGAAAAATCGGGACTGGAGTGGGGGGCCTATATAAGAAAAAGACCCCAAAATTGGGACTGTCCCTTAAAATCAGGACATCTGGACACCCTACAACCACCATTTCAGTGAACATATGTCCATGCTGATGAGAGGTTCTGATCGATAACAATCCAAAGCAGTACGGACCGATGCATGTTCATTTTCATCATCTGAGTCAGAAGCCACCAGCAGAAGGTTGATTTTCTGTTTTGGTGGTTCAGGTTCTGTAGTTTCCTCAGCAGAGTGTTGGTCTTTTAAGACATTTGAAAGCATGCTCCACACCTCGTCCCTCTGAGATTTTGGAAGGCACTTCAGATTCTTAAACCTTGGGTCGAGTGCTGCAGCTATCTTTTGAAATCTGTCATTGATCCCTTCTTTGCGTTTTGTCAAATCTGCAGTGAAAGTGTTCTTAAAATGAACAATTGCTGGGTCATCATCTGAAACATGAAATATATGGCAGAATGCAGGTAAAACAGAGCAGGGGACATAAAATTCTCCAAGGAGTTCAGTCACAAATTTAATTAACGCATTATTCTTTTAACAAGCGTCATCCGCATGGAAGCATGTCCTCTGGAATGGTGGCCAAAGCATGAAGGGGCATATGAATGTTTAGCATATCTGGCCCGTAAATACCTTGCAATGCTGGCTACAAAAGCACCATGCAAACACCTGTTCTCACTTTCAGGTGATATTGTAAATAATAAGAGGGCAGCATTATCTCCAGTAAATGTGAACAAACTTGTTTGTCTTAGCAATTGGCTGAACAAGAAGTAGGACTGAGTGGACTTATAAGCTCTGAAGTTTTACATTGTTTTGTTTTTGAGAGCAGTTATGTAACAAAAAAAGTCTACATTTGTAAGTTGCACTTTGAGGACACAGAGCTTTCACTTCAGTACTTGTATGAGGAGTACTGAAAAATACTATTTCTTTTGTTTCTTTCACAATGCAAATATTTGTAATCGAGAATAATATACACTTTGATTTCAATTACAACACAGAATACATTACATATAAAATGTAGAAAAAATCCAAAGTATTTAATACATTTCAATTGGTATTCTGTTGTTTAACTGTGCGATTAACCACTATTAACTCAAAAAAATTGAATCATCTGAGTTAACTGCAATTAATTGACAGTCCTAAAGGTATGTTTTGTTAAGGACTGTGTGTTAAGGGGGGGGAGGTTAGCTGGAAACATTTGGATTTGTAATAGAAATAGTGACAAATTCAGAACTATGGTTGTATCAAGGTGTAAAACCATAAACAAATAATTTAAATCATTAAATAAATCTAGAAGGTTACAAAAGCATTGATGGGCCATGAGCACTTTCTGTACCAGTCCTTACATCCCTGAAAAACACAATCCTTTGAAAACAGTCTACTTATCGTCAAGGATATTTGTCTGTAAGCATGAAGGAAATGCCTTAAGAGACATGATATGCTGTATTTAGTTTGAAACTTTTCATACCCTGTACATCTAATACTTGGAACGGTGTGTAACTATGGCATGTTATAGCAGGAAATACATAGTATTCCTTAGCATTTTAAAAAGTGGTAACTTATGTCCATTTTTTTATTCTGAACGAGAGATTAAATATGGTGCTCAATATAATTAATTTACCACCAAAGGTGCCAGTAGTATTCTTGTCTAAGAATATTTTATTTCAAATGTTCTCTGTAGCAGTATTAGCAGGGATTGAAATTGAGCCAAAATTTCCACTGGCCTTAAACTATTTTTCTTTGCAAATTAATTTTTTACTAGACTTATGAAAATTTTGGCCAGATTAGGTACTGTCCATGAGGGGATGAAAAGCCCTCTCTCGTGAGGGTTTAAGGTTAGGATGAGCTTAAGGCAAGCCACCATCATGGCCTAAAGCACAATTGCTTTTTCTGAGACTAGGCCAGCAAAAACCAATCTAATTGCAGTTGACTTCCCCAGTCCTGTTTGTATTGAAAAATCTCCCTATTTTTCAGTTCTTAAGAGGTTCTCATGTCACATAGCAGGGTTGGGTTTTTTTATACTACCCATTAAGCAACATGGGGGATAGTAGGCAGAGATCCTGGCAACAGACTGCTGCTTCTGCTACTTTTCTGGCCCCTGCCAGCATCCATAACTTTAATGGCCCTAGGTTACTACTAATTTCAACTTCAGTTAGTGTCATCTAGGGAAGAAAATGTATATAATACTTAAGATCAGCTGGACTGATTAAAAAGCTACATAACCTGACAAAAAGCTCTTTTTAGTAAGTCACTTAACATGTTGAAACATATGGTACAAAACTGAACCTTTTTAAACTCAGCATTTATAATGCTTCATATATAGAGCAATGCATATTTTTAAATTTTAATACATATCTATCTAGATATGCTTGCTGGAAAAGTTAGATCTCTTGTAGATGAGAAGCTACAAATTGTGGTTTACCAGTTTTTTTTCTATATTTTCTTGGAAAGCATTTCTATTTACAGTTCAGTATAAAGTTAATGTAAATACTGTACAGCTATGTATTGATTTGTTACGCATTGTACACAATTTGCATGAAAATTATGTATCAAGTGAGGTAATATTATGACTCTGTAAATCCATTGCAAATATTAATGGGCTCGTTTACCAGTAAGACATGTTTAAACTGTGGTGAGATTTCATTTTGAAAAATAAAATAAAGTATGAAACTATACAGCCATCCAGCTCCTTTCATTTACTGAGGATAAAAGTACAGAATAAGGGATCCAACTGCTCAAGATTTTGATACAGATTAAGATTTAGCTTACTCCAAAAGCAGTTACTATGCAAGTGGCTATCAAATCCAAAACTTCCCCTGTCTCAGCTCTGGTCACAATGACTCTTTAAATTACTTAACTTATTCTGCCTTACAAACTAGACATTTTCTTTCATTATGTTAATATCTGACCTAGGCATTATTCAGTAAACCACTTAAGCATGTAAGTGCTATCCTGAAGACACTTTCCTCATTTGGGGCTTTAAATAGGGTAAAGTAATAACTGATGCTTGCTCACTTCTCTTGATAGACAGGGTGCAAAGATGAATGACCTCTCTCTTTTCCTTTAATCAGATAAGAGGCACTGAAAAGGAAAATGTAGGTGTATCCAAAGCCAGAGAATTAAAGTTTCAGCTGCTTTGAAATATCAGGCATGGCAAGGCATGGCATGGGTTGCAGCCTCCTTGATCTCAGATGCAGACTGAGAGGTGTCAGCCCTTAACTGAAAAGGTAGAGTACATGTTAAAGATGTAATAGACATCTCTTTTCCCTAAGTGTTTATATTAAACTCAAATTCCTGCCAAGCAAACTTTAACTACTCTGAACAAAAATCACTTTCTTCATCAGGTTTCAGTTGCTTAGTGCCTGTTTAAACCTACTAATTCTCCACTCATCCAGAATCTTTCAGGAAAAACAGGTCTATTTTCTACACGAAAAGAATAAAACTGCTCAAATTGAGTTTTCCTTCGCAAGCTAGCTTTGGGGCAAGCTATTTTACAAAGCTGGTCAAAGGCAAATGCCGAGTTTCCTATGAAACCTGATCACAAACTTACTCTATTTACTTTTTTTTTTTCCTCCCAAAAATTCTTGAATGCAAAACTTTACCCTAGGCTAGTGGTATTTAGCAGCAGCTCTAAGGACCAGTTTTAGTGATGTTGAAAGAGAGAAAACAGCTCAAACTCCAAGCTTTTCTGACCAAACAAGTAACTGAATTCACAGCAAACACAGTAAGGTAAAACAGACAAACTGGAGAGATGAGCAGTAGCGGTCATTCCTAATAAGGGGAGAGTCTGTACTAAGACGAGCGTAAGGTACAAAATATGAGGCTTGGGGAACAAAACCAAGCAGCTACAAGTTTACTTTCTCACAACTGAGCTATTACTTTTCATGTAAATACATGATTTGTTGCCACAGGGAAGGAGCGGAGAGTTAGAAGTGTATTTATGACAAGCTCGGTCTTAAGGCCTTTCACAGGGAACAGCAGAAGCACCATAGGCAGTCATAACTTGGTGAAAAATAGAATATTAGGAACAGGTGGAAGAATTGTCATTCCCCTCTGCTAACATGAATCAATGCAATCATTTAAAGGACAAATATAGTTGAGCATTGACCACACCCCCTTTATCATCTGACATTAAGGCAGAGCTACAATTAAGCTTTTCAGCCCTTCAGTTAGGGTGACCAGATGTCCCGATTTTATAGGGACAGTCCTGATTTTTGGGTCTTTTTCTTGTATAGGCTCCTATTACCCCCCCGCCCCCCACCCCGTCCCGATTTTTCACACTTGCTGTCTGGTCACCCTACCTTCAGTGCACTGTTCTAATGGGTAGAAGTTGAATAAATAACTCAAGAAGTAAACAGTGTAAAAAGCTCTTTTGACTTTCCTGTATTTATATACTATATAAATTTTACATGCTATGTATTTACAGTGGGGCAAGTGCTTTATCTTTAAAAAAACAAAGATCAAACTTTAGACATCTCTGAACAACACAGCTTGTATAAACCAGACAGATTATACAGATGAACTGTATTTAATACAGCTTCCCCACTCCATCTCCTGATGCAGGACCAGTGAATTATAAGTATCACAGTTTGATAGCATTTCATAATAAAAATAAAATCACAGTATGAATTTGTCTGTAACTTTAAAGGGACAAAACAGACAACTGAGACCAATCAGTCAAGACAAGTGACACTATATAAAAAAGTAACAAAAACATATGGGAGGGAATACAAATAGTCTCGGAGATACATTCAGAACTGTGTATGCTGAGTGGTATGTTTCACAAAGTTCCAAACCAGAACTTTTCTGTAAGTTTTTCTTCAAAGCTTGAATACAGCTAAAGTGTGAAGTAAATTAGTTTCTAGTGTCAGATATCAGAGATAGTCTAGTTATCTGAAAGCTTGTGAATAAGTCTTTAAATTAAATATACAGACTGTCAGTTGTGGTTTTCTAGTCGCTTGCACCAGAAGTTTAACGTGGAGTAATATTACATGAATAACACATAATCAACCTGAGTCTGTAATTAAGCAGCATTTGAGATGTTCTATTCCAGGGCATTATTTTCAGTGTGATATTTACAATGTTCAGCAGTTGTAGAAAGTTTCCATCCTTTTGGATTATGGGTAAATTTTAAAAAAAAGTCTCAAGGTAAAAACTAAAAAAAGTTCTTCCATGGTAAAATCCTGTACAGTATTCTGAAGCACCAGTTATGGATTGAAGAGTTAATTGTTCTGTTATAAATATAGTTTAAACTGTAGGGATGGCTTCCATCAACACACTTTGAATCTGAAAGACAAGAGGAGGAAGCGTCATTTCCTGATATGAAATTTCAACACAAAATCAGATTCCAAGGCCATTTAATCTGACCTTCTATATAACACAGGCCACAGAACTTTCCTGAAATAATTCCTAGAGCATATCTTTTAGAAAAACATCCAATCTTGATTTAAAACTTCAGTGATGGAGAATCCACCATGACCCTTGGTAAGTTGTTCCAGGAGTTACTCTCATGGTTAAAAATGTACACCTTATTTCCAGTTGGAATTTGTCTAGTTTCAACAGACAGCTATTGGATCATGTTATGCCGTCGCTGCTAGATTGAAGAGCCCATTATTAAATTTGCTTCCCATGTAGATAGACTAATCAAGTCACCCATTAACCTTCTCTTTAATCTAAATAAATAGACTGAAAGAGCTCAATCACTAGAAGGCAGGTTTCTAATCCTTTAATCATTCTCATGGCTCTTCTTTCAACCCTCTCCAATTTATCAACATTCTTCTTGTTCTGGTGCCCATATTTCTGCACAGAGTATTCCAGTAGTGGCTGCAACTCTGCCAGCTATACAGGTAAATACCTCTCTACTACTTCTTGAGATTCTTGTTTTGATTTCTGAACAACAGTTAAGGCCTGAAGTTGCAGGTGCTCCATATCATGTGTAGCTACAGCTCTGAACCACATATCAAAACAGAAGGATTTCAAAACTGAATGCAACCAATGCTGTCCTCAATTTACAAGGTTGCTGAGTTTAATCCTAGGTAGGCAAACCTGGTTGGAATTTAGCCAGGACATTCCTAACATTAAATGCCCTGGTTTCATTAATGATCTATCATGGTCAAGCTTTCCCCCAAAAAATGACACCTCCAGCAACGTGCTGGGGCCCTGATTTAAGGACAGAGGGACAAATGCCACTCAAAGTCAAAAGTTCTGTTTTATGCAGCACCTGGATTTTTTAAGCCTCCAGCCCAATCACTAGCCAGCTTCAGCCATTTAGTTTATGAAATCTGACAAGATCCCAACCCAAGATAATGGCTCTCAATTCCACTGTCACTCTTGTCTTGTACTCATATGTGCGTCCCATCAGCTAGTTAGCCCTATAAACTTGGTTTGATTTTCATACCCTCTCCAAGCATTGTTCCATCCTTTTGAGTTAACTCATCATTCAGAAACTGCTTAATGCTTTGTATTGTCTCTTCTTTTCTACAGTCTAAATCAGGGGTGGGCAAACTACAGCCCAGGGTCCAAATCAGCCCTTCAGATGTTTTAATCTGGCCCTCGAGCTCCTGCTCCCTGAGGCTTGCCCCGATCCACATGTGCCATGGCACCACCCGACTCCCGGAAGCAGAGGCATGTCCCTGCTCTGACTCCTATGCGTAGGGGCAGCCAGGGGGCTCCACACCTTGCCTCCGCCTCAAGTGCCGCCCTCGCAGCTCCCATTGGCCAGGAACTGCGGCCAATGGGAGCTGCAGGGGCAGCACCTCTGGACAGGGCAGCATGCAGAGCCACCTGGCCACACCTCCGTGTGGGAGCCAGAGGGGGGACATGCCACTGCTTCCGGGAGCTGCTTGAGGTAAGTGCCGCCCGGAGCCTGCACCCTGACCCTCTCCTACACCCCAACCCTGATCCCCCTCCCACCCTCTGAAGCCCTTGGTCCCAGCCCAGAGCACCCTCCTACACCCCCAACCCCTCATCCTCAGCCCCACCCCAGAGCCCACACTCCCAGCTGGAGACCCCACACTCTCCACTCACCCCAACCTGCTGCCCCAGCCCGGAGCCCCCTCCTCCACCCTGAACTCCTCATTTCTGGCCCCAACCCAGAGCCCACACCCCCAGCAGGAACCCTCACTCCCTCCTGCACCCCAGCCCCTAATTTCGTGAGCATTCATGGCCCATCATACAATTTCCATACCGAGATGTGGCCCTCAGGCCAAAAAGTTTGCCCACCCTGGTCTAAATAAAGCCAACTGATTTCCTTAAGTATATGAAAAGGTTAAAATTCCTCAGATTTAGGAGGTTACTCTGCCCAGCACTGTCACCACAACAGTATCATCCTGCCTATTGTGCAGGGCAGTATTTTGAAGATGGAATATAATTTTTTGGATTTTGTTACTGTAACACTTCTGCCCTACACCACAATAAATCACAACACACACAAAAACAACGCATTTGGTGATTTATTTAACACACACTTGCTTCCTTTCCATAGATTTTACTTGTCTGTACTGAACCAATTTTGCCACCTGCTGGCCAACTCTCATTCATTACAGACAAAATCCTTTAAAATCTGATTATTATTTTTCTTCTGTGCTCTGCCTTCTATTTTCTTATCTAAAACTGGAATATATAGGCTTTGGAACAGCGAGGACTGCACCTACATTTTTCCCATTAAAAAGTCCACATTTCTCAAACTGTGCTATTTGAGATACTTGTTAGTTCTTGGGAAGAGAAAATGATACCATTAAAATGTTACCTATCTGTGGTAACTACCAGTGTGTATATAGACATGGATTTTTCAATCAAATTAATATAAAGAGCTATATTGCTATTGCTTTGCTTCCTTGGCAGAGGGACAGAAATGGCTTGCTGGAATTTAGATAGTAGCAATAGAAATCTGCAGTTGATCAGCTTCTCACACTGAAGAAGAGGGGAACTATGGCAACTACCTACATTTTAGGAATCTGAGGGCAGCCCCTGGATACCAAGATCTACAAATACCTCGTTTTCAATATCCTCACTCAAAATATTTCTAGATATTATGAACCCATTTCCATTGTTAGTAGTTTCTCCCTCTACAGTTAACCTCCATCTCTTGTCCTGAAGGGACTTTTCAGTGCAGAACGTTACTCTTAGGCTAGGTCTACACTACAAACCTTACAGTGGCCCAGCAGCGCCCCGTAAGGTCTCCCATGTAGCCGCTCTATGCTGGCGGGAGAGCTCTCCCACTGGCATAATTAAACCATTTCCAATGAACAGCGGTAGCTATGTCAGCAGGAGAGCGTCTCCCACTAACCGAGAACTGTCCACACCAGTGCTTTAGTTGGTAAAACTTATGTCGGTCAGAGGTGTGTTTTGTTTTTTTTCATACCCCTGACCAACAAAAATTTTGCCGACAAAGTGCTAGTGTAGACAAAGCCTTAGTGTAATTGCAGTTTACATTAAGCCATAGAAACAGCTGCTTATAAAAATAAATAAATAAACGAAGAGTCATTCCAATAGGAAGACTAGCAGATCACCACAATTTAAATCAAGTTTAAAGGAATGTCTCCCTGTGTTAATAATCCTCCAGCAGTAACACACAATGCAGCTCACAACTTTTGAGATGCTGAAGTTTACTTGTTATCTATGCTAGAATGACACTGCCAACACTCTTTGACCATTAGAGTGGGCAGTAAGATGCTGATTTTTCACCTCAAAGTTATATGCATCTTCAGGCCACAATTTGTTAGCAACAGAGCTCCCCTCACCCAAATACCAAGGATATAAAAAATACTGAAGATTGACAAATACAACTTGCCTGTGGCTAGTGAGTTTTTTCTGCAAGGATTACTTTTCACTCACCTACAAGAGAGGAAAACAGGTTGGCAAAATCTCAGCTGTTATAAAACCAGTGTAATTCAGTTGCTACTTTACAGAGCACTGCTGTGCTAGTGTTGAGAAAAAAACAAAATCCTGGGTAAGTACTACAATCAATTGGTGTATACAGTGTAGTTGTAGCTTGTTGGTTCCAGGATATTAGGGAGACAAGGTAGGTGAGGTAATATTTTATTGGATCAACTTCTGTTGATGAGAGAGACTAGCTTTTAAACCATACAGAGTCTCTTCTTCAGGTTTGGGAAAGATACTCAGGGCATGTCTTCACTACCAATATTAAAGCGCTTGTTTAGTTGCGGAATAGCACTGGAAGAGAGCTCTCCCAGCGCTATTAAAAACCCACCTCCACGAGGGGAACAGCTGCAAGCACTAGTGCACTGTCTACACTGGCACTTTACAGCACTGAGACTTGCAGCGCTCAGGGGAGTTTTTTCACACCCCTGAGCAAGAAAGTTGCAACGCTGTAAAGTGCCAGTGCAGACAAGCCCTCAGTGTCACAGCTAAATGCAAGGTGGAACAGATTGTTTAGCATAAGTAGTTAGGGTTTATTCTAAGGGACCATTCAAAATAGAGTGGCCTGTTAACATCTCTGCAGTCATAGGACAAAAATAGGGTGTTAGTGGGTTACAGATTGTTGTAATAAGCCAGGGGTGGCCTGACCCTCCCAGGCACATACAATAATTTTCAGAAGTACGAGAGCCAGGTGTGCCTGCTGGGGCTCAGGGCTACTGCCCTGCAGTGGGGTGGTGGGGTTTGGGACCTTGCGCAGGGCAGAATCCCCAAGCCCCACCACCCTGCCGCAGGGCAGGAGCCCCAAGATCCCCCCCTCCACCTCCAGGGTGGTAAGCAGAAATGGGGGGGTGTAGGGGGTTCCACAAGCCACACTAACTGTAAAAGAGCCGCATGCAGCTCAGGAGCCACGGTTGGGCCATCCCTATAATAAACCATGAATCCAGTGTCTCTATTCAGTCCCTGATTTTTAGTGTCTAGCAATTGGTGCTTAGTTTTTGGAAACAACTCTTAATCTGTACCAATCTACAGCTATACAAGTAAAAATAAAATTAGACTTTGAAATTAATCTGTTACTATACATATTTGGATACCTGGAACTATATCTAAATTTCTGTGATCTAAAGATGGTACTAAATAGTTAGTTTATGAACATTTTCATAAGAAAAAGTTATTTTAAACAAGAAAATTTTGTCAAGAACTTAATTTTCAGCCACTGATAGCTGTATGGTTCATCAAGTCTACAGCTGATGCCGAAGGGTTAAAAAACATTCATTCAAAGCCATCTGGTATATTGGTGTTAGGCGAGAGCAGTAGGAGAGAGTCCAACACATTACATTTAGAATCCAAATTAGGATTGTATTTTTTGTTCTATATGAGAGATGTCAAATTGATCTCTTATGGTAATAAAAATAGGGAAAAAGCCCGCAGCAGCCAATTTGTGTGTATTATTATACCCAAAATGAAATAGAATCACAGGAATTTAACATACTTTCCATCTGGTTTCATCTGTGTATGCAAAGTTGCCATCCAAAGATTTAATGACTGTGTGTCCATGGTCCTTATGACAAAGTAGGTCTATAGCTGAAATAGAAAATATTTCAATGTTAACAAAACCCACTTATCACAAACTAGCATTATTTTGATTAACAAGTCAGCACGCTTAGTATAAACAAATTGTTACTGGGGCAGTGTTTCTAATGAAGTGACTCATTTTGGCAGCCTTTGTTAATAAGATGTTTTAGTGGATTGCTACTAATCTGTATCTGGATGTCACATAGCATCATCTCCCATCTTGATTACTGAAATTTTCTTCCCTTACTTCACTCCTTCCCAATCTGTCCAAGATGCAGCTTCCAAATTATCTTCCTGATTGATCAGAGTGAATTTACTGTCCTCTCTGAATTCCTTCACTGGTTCTCCAATTAACCACCACATCAAGTTTAAACTAAACTACTCATTCGTACCTTTCAAAGCCCTTCACAACTCTGTCCTTACCTACATTTCAGACCTCATCCCCTAACTCAAATCCTGCACCAACTAACTATACTAGTTTCAATACCTTGTTAATCTCCTCCATTTATGTGCATTTGACCATGCCACCCCTCTACATGAAATACTTCCCGAATCCTAATTTGTCAAACTACCATTCTGTCTTCATGCAATCCCAAGAAAGTATAGTCCAGTTGATAGAACATTGGACTGGGAGTCTGATTTGGATTCAAGTCCCAGCTCTGCAAGGACCTTGGGCAAATCAGTTAACCTTTATGCCTCAGTTTTCCTATCTGCAATATGGTCATGATACTGATCCAGATTTATGAAGTAATTTCAAATCTTCAGATAAAAAGAATTAAGAGCAAAGCATTATTTAAAAAACTACTACTTCAAGGACCTTAATTGAGTTTATACAGCAATTAATAAAACAACTAATACATCCCCACAGGGAGACTTCTAATGTGTCCAATCTTAAATCTTCCTTAATTCTTGACCTCTTTGGAGCTGGGATTTTCTGGGTGGTGCACTGCTGACCATCTTTTTGCTTCTCCCTTACATGATTTCTTGTATTTACAAAAGGGTGGGTAAAAATTGTTTGTTTTTTTAAGAAAAGTCAGATTTTTAATTTAAAGTAAATAATTCTTAAATCCATTTAAAATTAAATATGAAATTATGACTTTCTATAATCTATTAAAATAATTTAAATAAAAAATATGGTACATCTATGAGCCCTCCAAGTTTAAAGGAAATAAACGGTGCTGCTTTTTTAATTATATACAGAATCAGGAGGAAAATATCTAACTTTTAGGGCCAACTCAAGCTTTGTAACAATATGTACTGCATTAAGTACCTATTATTTTCAGTCTTTACAATGGAGTGATTTACATTTTCCCAAATATCAGTACTTTCAGTTTCTGTTGTGCAGAAAAGCTTTTGCCTTAATTACTTTCAGTTTAGCTAGCAAATGCAGAGAATATTTTCTTCATTTGGACTAGTTCATTCAAAGTTGAGAAACTGAATGGGAGCTGACAAAGTAGGAAAACTTGTTTTTCTCTTCCACTCTATAAATAAAAACTATCTGGGAAAGGAGGAGATCTACTCATTGTAAAAACCTGGACAATGGGCCAGATTTTCAAAGGTATTTAGGCCTAAAGATGCAGGGCTGGTCTACACTTGGGGGGGGGTGTGTGTGTGGAAGGGATTGATCGATTTACCTTGGGTCCTCAAGGCGCGGGATCGACGGCCGCGGCTCCCCCGTCGACTCCGCTACCGCCGCTCGCTCCGGTGGAGTTCCGGAGTCGACGGGGAGCGTGTTCGGGGATCGATATATCGCGTCTTAACGAGACACAATATATCGATCCCCGATAAATCGATCGCTACCCACCGATACGGCGGGTAGTCTGGACGTACCCGCAGATAGGGGCTTAATGGGATTTCAAAAGTACCTAAGCAGGTTGGGCATGCAACTCCCATTGATTTCATTGGCTGTTAATTTCAATGGGCATTATGTTCCTACCTTGTCCTTAGGCACTTCTGAAAATCCCACTGGGCCCCTATCTGAATCTTTAGGTGCCTAAATACCTTTGAAACTCTGGCCCACAGTAACTAGAAATAGTCACTAACTACAGTAAATATTTCCTGTGTTTAATAAAATCAGTTCTAAATGATTTTACATTTTTACACAGTTTGGTAAACTTTATACATCCAGCACATGTACAGTAGTTTTATTTAACTAAAAACAGTGTAATTTTTTTACATTAAAATTCCATCCAAATGCACTTTAATACAAAGAACATAGAAATGAGCTTTTCATTTTCTAACAAAAATAATTATATATATATATATAAATAAAAAACAATTATATATACACACACACACACACACACACACACGTTAAGCTATATAATTTTTTAAAGGTGTATAGATGCAGTGTATCCTCCTGTTTAGCAAAAGTATAACATTTAGTGTAAAAAGCAGTATTTGATTGCAAATTAGTATAACCATTTAAACATGCTAATCAATGACACTGAACCTTTCTCTAGGAAAGTAACTTAGAAGTGCAAATACCTAGGTCTTATACAGCATTTATCAGTAGATCTCAAAGCACTTGACAAAGGATGTAACCATCATTCTCCCCATTTTACAGATGAGGTACCCAAGGTCACCTAGCAGACCAGTGACTGAGCTGGGAATAGAACCCAGGTCTCAAATCCAAGTCCAGACCCAAATGCAAAACAAAATTAAAATCTGTAATTTATGTCAAGATTTCCTGCTTGGTGATTTGTTATTTTGATTTAAACCATCCTCCCTTATTTCCTTCTTCTCCTTTAGTCACAAGATTCACTAATTACAACAACACAGTGCTATCCATTCCCTTATGCAAGGAGTTATTCCCTTAGCCAGTCACCAATGCTTCCAATATGGCCAGAGGAATTATTACAGAGCAACATAAGGCTTTCCTCCCACTTCCCTGCTCAGAAAAGAAGGGATGAATTAGAATCCAATTTCCCACATGATAATGTAGGTAAACACATCCATTGGTAGTTTTTTATCTGATTAGGGCCCTACCAAATTCATGGCCATGAAAAACGCATCATGGACCATGAAATCTGGTCTTTTGTGTGCTTTTATTCTCTACTATACAGATTTTATGGGGGGAGACCAGCATTTCTCGAATTGGGGGTCCTGACCCAAAAGGGAGTTGCAGGGGGGTTACAAGGTTATTTTGGAGGGTTGCACTGACTTAAGAGCTGGGTGGCAGAAGTGCGGCAGCCCTGAAGGCAGAGCCCCACCAGCAGCAGCGCAGAAGTAAGGGTGGCAATACCATACCACGCCATCCTTACTTCTGTGCTGCTGCTGGCAGCTGCTCTGCCTTCAGAGCTGGGCTCCTGGCCAGCAGCCGCCACTCTTCAGCTGCGGCTCTGAGGCAGCACCACCAGCAGCAATGCAGAAGTAAGGGTAGCAGTACCACAACCACCCCTACAATAACCTTGTGGAACCTCCCCCCCCCCCCGCCCTCAACTCCTTTTTGGGTCAGGACTCCTACAGTTACAACACTCTGAAATTTCAGGATTTAAATAAATGAAATCATGAAATTTATGATTTTTAAAATCCTATGACTGTGAAATTGGTAGGGCCCTATATATGATGAATAGTTTTGTGTAGAGACTTTGTTGGTCAAGGATTACTGGATTCCAAAATTTTTTGGACTTCCCCCTCCCCTCCCCTCGCCAAAAAAAAAAAAATAATAATAATTCTAAAAGTACACAAATTAGTATAAAAATATTTACTGTGCTCAGGAAAAAACCCCAAAAGGCAAAAATATTTAAATTAAGCAGACTTGACACAGGCAGAATAGACAATAGCAACAATGCTATTCTTCCCCTCCCTACCTGATGTAAGCTCATACTACAACTCATCAGTATGAGCTGCCCCAGGATTTCTTGTAACAAACATGCTGATGACAGCAACTATCTAGTCAATAACCCAGGGTAAGTAAAAATCGCTAATTTTATCTACTTTATTTCACAGATATACAAAACTGAAGAAATTATCCAACATAATTGTGTTGCTTGCTGTCTGGAACATGTGACATTGTATATGTATTACAAAGCACTTAAAATTACTTCAAATATTTTTCTCGATTTGAAAAAATAGAAATCCCATTAATTTCTAATGGTCTCTTACCTTTGCTATACTCTTTAGATATGTGATAGCTATTTTCCTGGCCTCCTCCTATGTATTTTGTTTTATGACAGGAATCAGCATCCCCTCCCTCATGAGGCCATTTACTCCCATGTTTACTATATTCTTCAGATGGAGGGTCATCCGTACAATGAAATTCTTTTTTCTCCCATGTCTTATTAGTCTCAGAGCCAGCAGCCTTCTGGATATTAGGATCTAAATATTCAATAAAGCCCTCAGATTTCTTTGTATGTTTCTTCTTTTTCTTCTTCTTTTTCTTATGTTTGTGGATGTCAGAATCAGAGCAGGCCCCAGAGAAGTCTGAATCCTGGCGATGTCTGAAAAAAAACATACAAGTTAATATGAAAACAAATGTGATGCTTACACTATTGTTACAAACATATTACACTATTTATACATATACAATTTATTAATTTTTGAGGGAGTTAGGCACATGCATAGAAAAGATATTATTGTTCTAAATTTGGCCACAGGTCATATCTACTAAAATCTGGCTGGCTAAAGCTCAAAATAAAGAGCACATCTTATTTTCTTAACAGCTGTGGTGCTGTTCCTTTCCTCCAGCATCTGTGCTGCTCTGCTGAAAACAGTGGAATACTCAATACATCGGGTAATGCACTTGCGTAACGGATCAGCTGTGTTCAGCAGCAAGGAAATAGTTAAGCATTCTCCATTTTCATCCCCAAGTTAGTGGCAAGCTAAATAAACTTTTGTCCTTTTCTCAAGGGTTTCTTTTTCAAAAGGGAGCGTTTTAAACATATGCCACTGATTAGAACAAAATATTGAACTCTATACCTATCAAACACTACATAGAGGTCAGCTCTCTGATGTAAGACTAAATTATCAAGATGATCACACATTGAAGTTTTTTTTAAAATCAGTTCTCAGTTTGTCTATTTAACCGCCCCATCCCCCCATTTAGAAACACTCTCATATCATATATGGGAGCAACCTGGCAAGCATCAGACACAATTTGCATCATTTGCCTCCTGAGGGAAAGCACAGCTCATTATGAGGGGAACCTGTGCATGTCTTCACTCTCCATGACTACTACATACTTGCTTTTAATTTCTGATTAGAAGGAAGAACAATGGGATGGAGAGGAGAAATACTCAAACTGTTACTGAGAGATATTGCTTTTCTAGTTTAATGCAGGTATACTGTATTACATGTTATTTTGTATTTCCAACACAATGAAAAGTGTTCTGTATTCACAAGATGCCTTCACACACACGTCAATTAAGTCATTTTTCTGAAAAGTCAGGATAAGTACAGTGAACCCACATCAGAATACGAACCAAGTATCCAAAAATAAGAGACTAGTAGTACTTATTGGGTTCTTAAATTAAGAGGGTATTACAAGAGAACAGGCTACACGTAGCCAGCTCACTACTTTTTTTTAGTGTGAAAAACAGTTTTGGAACATTAGGAGACAGAATGAAGTATATAGAGAGACCTATGTATTCAGTGATTCCAGAGCTACAGAATTCAGACTCTGCTGCAGAAATGGACTCCAGAATCTGAGTTTTCATTTAAAATAAATTATATTTCTAATCCTTATGGCTAAGAAAATAACCTTGACATTGTAAACAGACAGCAGACCAATACAGTACAATGCCTGCCTGAGCCTGTAGACCTCATAAAACACAGGCATCTCAGTCAGGATCCTCTGGACTTTGCAATTATGTGGCTATAGAATATTCCAAGCTGCCATGGAATTCAGCATTTTGATAATTTATTTTCTGTCCCTTTATCCTGCCAAAAACTACCAATTGTGGCCAGCTTTCCCCAAAGAAGGAGGTAACTGGATTACAGTGCCTGCTCCCTGTATTGTTCCACAGAGTCAGGCACCAAGAGTAGTAGTGTTAGAGCCAGAGCCCAATTTGCAGCAAGGGAATGGGAGGAATCAGAAGTGTAGATTGATTAACTGGGCTGGCTGGAGAAAAGTGCAGCAGCTAAGCCCCAGGGTTTGGAGAGGAACCACCTGGTGATCAAAGCAAAAACTACCCCCTAATCTAATCATTGTTGAACATAAGTTGACTTAAAATTGGTGGATGATTAATAGATTCCAACAATGAACCATAGTTAGATGTGGGGTGGGTGGGAGATGGGAATGAAAAGAATTTCATGACAGCACAATAAATTAACACTGCTGTGGAATTTGGTCCCATTGTGCAATAGAGCACAGAGGGCCATGGTTTTATAACACTGAAAATACACTAGTTGCTGGCAGCCAAGGTATCCATAGCTTACTTTCACACAATATGAAATAAGGAACTGTATAACAGAGTGCAACTCATCAAAGGGTACGTCTTACTACCCGCCGTATTGGCGGGTAGCGATCAATCTATCAGGGATCGATATATCGCGTCTCGTCTAGACACGATATATCGATCCCCGAACGCGCTCCCTTGGACTCCGGAACTCCACCAGTACAAGTGGCAGTAGCGGAGTCGACGGGGGAGCCGCGGCCATCGATCCCGCGCCGTGAGGACGGGAGGTAAGTCGAAATAAGATACGCTAGTCCCGTAGCTGAAGTTGCGTATCTTACATCGACCCCCCTCTGTGTAGACCAGGCCAAAGTAGTACAACATTTTCTTCACTCCCAGCCATAATCATGGACTTCAGTTCATCAAGTGATCCAACTGGTCCATCTTTATGTGTTTTATAATATTTAAAATCAAATTATAAATAATCTAGCAACTAAGAATAAATATGGAAGTGGACCTAAAAACATGAGGCTGTCAGTAGAAGGGTCAAAACACGATGTAATTTCTCTGCTATGACAGGAAAGCATTATCACATAGTACTCCTGAGCAGTGAGGTGCCATAGTGGCTCCACCATTTAGTTAAGTTGCAAACACATGAAAACCAGCACTGTACTCCCTTAAATTAGCAATAAGCTTCACACAGATCACTTAGGAAGCAAAACTAATTTTCTACCTTGTTTTCATAACACACACTTCTGTAATGTAGGAATTCTAAGCAATTTTAAATCCCACCTTTTTGAAGTTTCCCTTGTGATTCTGACTTTTTGGGGGGCCTCTGAAAAAACTCTCAGGCTTCTTATTTCACAAAGCCTAAGTAAAGTTATGACTTGCTATAAGTTTCCTTTTCTGCAATAAAAATCAACAGAGGATATTACTGGTTTCTGTGGGAGACAGAAGGGGTTTCAGACCTGCAGATGAGTGTAGTTGGGGGGCTGTAGGATAAAAGTGGCTCCCTGGACTGTCTGAGATTGCTGCCTTGTGCAAGGAAGAATCCCAGTGCAACCATGAGCCTTCTAATGGAGGGGGAAGAGATTCTTCTTGGACAGGGTTTGCTAAGAGTAGTGGAGTCCAGGCAGAGGGCCTCAGGATCAACTCAAGGGTTCAGAAGAAGGAAGGAAGAGGGAAAGCATCAGTATTTCCCTGCCTTCTCTACCTTACTGTCATGCTGTACTTCACTGTACCTACACTCCCTTCTGACAAAAATACAGCTGATTTTGTTGGATAGAGAAGGCAGAGAAGCACTAGTGTCTCTCCAAACCTCCTTTTCCTATACACATGAACTGGTCTTGTGTACTCCACACCCATCTAGACTTGTGACAGGACACATACAGCTTCCATTCAGTTAAAAGAAAAGCTGTATGACTGCACCTCTCTATTCCAGGCTACCATTTGGTGCAAACAAATTTAGCCCATCTCTACTTTGGGAGGAAAAGTTATGTCATGGCCTGCCTACCCAAGTTTGACCATAGCCTGTTTTGAAAAGTGTGCAATAAACTTAGTCAGGGTCTGTTTACAAATGTTTAGAACATTATTTGTTTGATCCTGTTCCAAAGCTCTCACACAACTCAACAACATGGTTTGATCCCATCTATGCAAGACACATCAAACTAACATGATCTCCCCTGACAGATTTTACAGTGCAATGGGCTCAGAAGCAATGGAAAAAAAGGGGAAGACCAGGGAAACAGCCAGAGACAAATTAGGAAGAGGAGTTTGTTTAGAACATTGTAAATAAAAGTTTCTCTTGCTTACCTCTCATCTTTCTCTCGGTGTTTATCTTTGGACTTCTTTTTTTTCTTTGACTTCTTGTGTTTTTTCACTTTTTGCTCTTCCGTTGGCTCACTCTGCAAACTCCTGTGTTTCTTTTCCATATCACTGTCACTACCTTCTAGACTAGCACATTTTCTTTTTCTGTCTTTTAGATATTCATATTTGTGGCAAGACATCTCAAAACTTGAATTGTTTTCTTCAGACATGGATGCACATTTTTCATGGGAATATTTTTCAGAGTGCTGAGAGGGAGCTGAGCAATTATATAAATCTATTTTGGAGCTGCCAAAATGATGTTTCTCTCTCTCTTTAGCTACTGGTTCATGATTCCATCTGCTTGTGTAATAATAATCCCTATATGACCTACTGTTGTAAACCTGACTTGATTTGTCGTAGTCTCTGTCCCCATGAAAGAATTTTCTCTCTCTACCATCTCTTGCTGCATAAGAAGGATGATAATCATTGTAATATCTGCACTTGTCCCATCTCCTTGGTATATCTTGGTAATATCTTTCCCTACTCCAAGATCTTTCCCTTTTAGAATGGTAATATCTACTCCTCTCCTGATCAGTTTTCCCTCTACTTCGGGATCTGTAATAGGTGTATTTTCCTAAACTTCTGCCATTATCAGGGCTGTTTCTTTCACTATGCGTAAGTTTGTACTTATTTCCATTGCAGTGCTCCTGCTTATAGCCATCTTGCTTCATACTCTCCTTGCTGTAGGATTGCCTTTTTTTGGAATAATCGTCATCTGGTTTGCGTTTCGTTTGCTTCTCCTGCTCTTCACTTTCAGAGCGCTCTCTTTTAGTACGGTAATGCCCTTTGTCAATTTTTTTGGGGGTGCAATTTTTTTCCTTGACTGGAGAATGAGACTTAATTTTTTGCCTATCCTTATTTTCTTCACATATTTCATTACCATTCAGTCCATCGTTTTCTTTAGAATAATGACTCTCTAAAACTTTATCCAACCTTGTAGCAGAAGAGTCATTAGTAGGTGGTACATCTGTGTAATTATTAGCACTCTCCTTTGTTTCTTGGCATTCATCTTTGATGTTTAGAGCTACAAGTTTTTTAGAACTACATTCATTGTCAGACTTCATGAAGGGGCTTTGCCCCAATTTCTCTGCAGTCTCAGCAGACCCTCTGATGTGCAGAGGACTCTCCTTCAAAGTCATTTTTACCTCTTGTGTTCCTCTTATCTTATCTGCATAATCCTTGGGATCGCACTGTTTAGAGAATTCATCATCAATTCCCAGGGATATTTTCTTAGTGTTACACTGACCACTGATATCAGAATGTGCATTATCAGTTTTTGATACAATACTTTCGGCAATTTCTTCTTTGGTAGAAATGGTCTCAGCCTCTGATGTAGTAAAGGGATTCTGGACATTGCAGCTAAGGTTAGCTGGAACTTTACTAGACTTCTCATAGGAAACAGTATTGTTGCCACTCACTAAAGTTTCTATATGACCATCATTTTCGGAAGTTTTTTCAAGTCCAGTTGCACTGCACAAAATAGAAATGTATTTGTGACTTTCAACAGAAATAAGACAAATACTCTACGTGATGATTGTTAAGAGTAAAATCCTTTTCATCGGTAAACATCTGACTCCTGGAAAACTCTGAAAGACATTCTGTTTAGAAACACATCTACTTATAATATATTCCCTCCTCACGGGGAAGCTCTTTTGCTTGCTTTTCTATGTGCAACACTTCAGGAGCACCTACCCTGTCAGTTCTCCTACTTCCCCCCCTCCATCTATTTGCTGCGTTGACTCATGACCATACTCGCTATGCTTGCCCTTCCCCACAATAAAAACTTTGTAATAGTGGGTTTCCCTCTCCCTCCCTCCCAGAGGCAAGGGAAGGCAGGTGGCAGGAATTTACACTCACCTGGTCAGTGTCCTAGCAGAGCAGCTGGGATTACTCCTAATGAGCTGCCCATATTTTAGAAGTGTGGTAGACCGAAAAATACTTATACCCACACTAATAAATAGATATCGTGTTCATGCATGCATCCCTAGGAGTGAAAAAAAGGGGAAGAGGAATATACAAAATATAGACAATATGACAGAATGGTTTCTACATAGAATGTTTTTCCAAAGTTTTCCATGAGGCATCAACAGGTTTTTAAATATAAGAAGAATAGGCACAATGCCAAACATAGGTTCTGCTCTCACTACTATTAGTTTTGGTATGGTATTCCTACAGTGAGCTAAGTCTTTCCATTTAAGTATTATTAATAGTTAGTATACCCATAATAAAACTTGTATGGAATCTTAATTTGGACAAAGTGTATTTTACCTTATTTCCTCTGACAAGCTTTTCAACTGGTTATATCGGAAAGACTCTAAAATTCTATCTTCAGGAACTGGTGGCAAAGCTGTAGGTATTATCTACAATTAAAAGGTCTGAGTTAAAACATACGGAATGATAGCAATTATACAAACTTACATAGCATCTCAGCCCAAAGAGTCCTAGAGCACTTTCCAATCATAATCGGACATACAGACTATATATATGGATCACTGTAGGCACAGCACCCTAACATTCAATATTGCAAGCATTAACAGCACACAATTTAGAAAAAGAAAAAGTACAATACAATACTACAAACTTTAAACTATAGGGGAATTAAGACAGGCAGAATACAACTATCAGATGAAATCTGGACAACATACCAGAAACAGCACCCCTCTTATAAAGAGTGACGTAGGTTCTTTGATAGTCAGGCACCACAGTTTTTGTCTCATCGGAAGGACTGCACACCTAACACAATGCCCCCCAACATGCACTGGGACAACACCACTGAGCACTTTACTACCTCAAAGTTTTACATAAAAAAGCAGTGTGGTTTTGTAGTCCCAGATCCTAAGCCTGACTTGCTATACAGCCTCAGGTAAGTCACTTAACCTCTCCATGTTTCAGTTTCCCCATTTTACCAGATGGAATTATAGCCAAGTATTTAGCACACCTACCTCTCTGGTACCTGAGCACAACATAATGCTTACTGTACCCACCTAAGAAGAATAGTTAGTGTTTGCAAAACATTATATAAATGCTAAATATTATTAAGACACCACAGAGAGATGCATGCTCTCTCCATTTTACAGATGTGGAAATGAGATTAGCAAGTATTGATTCAGCTTAACCCTGATTAGTATGCAAGATCTAAGGGACTGCAGCACAAAGTGCTATGACGGCAGCCTGTGTTGTATATTTTCCTCTGAACTTTGCCTGAATGAGGAACATTTTAATATTGAGCGCATCACAGTCATATTTATAATCTGCCACGAAGAGACAGTCTAGAAGAAACAAATGTAAAACTCACTTTTCCATGCAATCCATTCACTTTAGAAAATGGAATTTCTGTAGATTTAACAGGCTTGACTTGGCAAGTAGATTCATCAAATTTCAATCCATTTTCTTCAGGATCACTATCTATACTAATAGCACCATTAACTGTAACATTTTTTGGCAGTTCATGCAGGGATACAACCTCTTCAGCATCTTGACAGGAAGAACAAGAGTTCTGTAATGTACTAACTACATTTCCAATCAAAATTCCATTAAAAGATTTTGAGTGGCCATTCTCCTTAACTAATCCCTTCGACTCCTCATCAGATTCTTCTGAAGATTCTGCACCGTAAGGGACCAACGTACTAGAGTTTAGTTTAGACTTGCCATTCATTAATGGCTTAGAACAAGATTCATTAGGAGTTGTTTGTTTAGATACTTTAGTAGCAACTGACATTGTAGGTGCACTTGAGGTAGACTTTACTGCAGAGGAATTTGTAATCGTGGACGAAGGAATAGGCTTGCTGAGATTCTCCAAAGAATTATGAAGGTTGGGTTGAGACAGAGTTTGGCGAGTAGGCAATTTGTTATTGTGAATACTGATAGTGATTTTCTGTTTTTTCGAAGGATCAGGAATAGTGGGTCTGTTAATTGTCCAATTTTGAATGGAAGTTGAAGGTGGAGCTGAAGCTGGTCTGTTTAGGGTAACATTGCTAGCACTTGCCACAGAACTGCTTGGAGTTTCTTTTAGTGATCCAGTTCCATTTAAATGACTGGAATTCTGTAATTACAAAGAAATCACTATGAAAATGTGTGCATGTGGATAGACAGCATTTAATATCCCAAGACATAATGGGCTTACTTGATATTTCTACAAACTGCACCAGTGGCTAAGCAGAAAACACCCCTATATGAGTTATATAATCTTGCTGGTAGTTTAGTGTTCACATTTTGTTCACAGATTTTCAGTGTTCACATTTTGTTTTGTTTTTTAAAAAGCTAACACCAACGGCAATCCTTTGCTGATTGTAAGATACAAAACCAAAACAAAAATCCAAAACAAAAAACCCTATTCTTTGCAAACCTTAGAACATTTGTACTAATAACTGAGAACAAGCCAGTCTGGTTTCACCATCTCAACTGAAGTGCAAAAGACGAAACAGCATAAATAAAGCAAGTAAGTTGGATTTTTAAAATGATTTCAGTTTTAATAAATTCAAGTATTATTTAAAGTAAATATTTTGACAGTGTGCTTTTTGAGTACTTTTGGCACCTAGTTTGAAGTTCAAAGCAATGGGGAAGTAATATTTGCACAGTTCAGTGTTTGTCTCTATTAAAGTGTTTCTAGCTGCTTAGGCTGCAGAAGGAGCACTGCGCACAGAGCTGTATTGTGGGGAAAGGAAATCTGAGATCCTGAACATTTATAACAAATAAACAAAGGCTGTTTACAAAACTCCGGCCATCAAGTTGATGCCATTATCTACATATGAAGATTACCTTAATCATGTGAGGAGGAAGCTGTGGTCCTATAAATCCTGATGCCCCCTGCCTGCTATTAACCACCCGCTGACTGATAACTGGACGGGGAGAAGACTGTCCTGGTGTATGAATGGAATGGGGGTGTTCTCCTCCATTTTTCATATCATGGGACCTGAAGAAATGACAGATAATTATTCATTCATTCAGATTTGTTCTTTTGCTTAGCCCAGGCTTTAGATACATCCCACAGTTTAATACTTCACAGAAACTGGTTTTTTTTAAATAAACAAACTTTAACCAAGGCTACAAATCGTAAGTTAGATAACAGACCTCCGATTATAATTTCCCAACCCCAAGCAGCAATTCAACTTCACAACACCCATCACTTCAATCTCCCACCCCCAAAGTCAACCAATTACACAGCATTTGATCCAGAAGATTCAAAATGCTCCACCTATAAAGGCATCACTTCACTCTGTAGATAACTCTTTCAGTGGTGGGTGTAGGATGACAGACATTTAACTTACACCAGCAAAAAAAAAAAAAAAAAAAAAAAAAAAAAAAAATTAAGTCAAGCAGGGAAGGACAACTTCTATAGCTTAAACTATAGGTGGAGTTTTAGGGTAGACAGAGATGAATTAACCAAATTGGAATTTTTCCCAGGAGAGGAAAAAGAAAAAAAATGATGAAGAACAAGAAAGTAACTGAATCTTGAACACATTTTGGTACTTGATATTACCTGATATAAAAGAGCACATAAGCTTGCTGATTAAGCACAGATCTGATGTCACTGTTGGACACAATAGAATCATTCATCTGGTACCACTGCCCGTTACTGGCCTGCAAATAAGTCAATGACATATTTTAAATCAGTTACAACATCTGCTAGAAAAAAAACACAGAAAACTAAAAAGCTGCAGAAGAATAAAGAACACTCCAAAGTATAGCCGTTTTCATTATAGTAATGTACACTACTGATTTTTTTTTTTTAAATTAAATCCCTTATCTTCAGAGATTTGTTACCACTAACATTTGTTAGTGAATGTTCCCCTTCACCAGTGCAGATTTTACTTTAGCAAGGGAACTGTTCTCAGGAGCAGTTTTATTGTTTAGAGCACCTGTTATGCTAAAACACTGTCCCATCAAGGATCCACACAACAAATCACAAGAATAAAGGGGCATTAAATAAAACTGGCAACAAATTCATAACAAATAAAAGCACAATATAATCTCTGAAACTAGGTAAATTTTTTGCTTAGCAAATACTCAAACTCTGCAAGAACGTTTATTTTAAAAATTACTGTAAGAGGAAGATTCTCAGAGAGTCTAACCAGAAGTATAGCCATATATGAAGCAGACAGAAGAGGCTAATTTACGTCAGCATATTACAGTATTATAGGAAGGCAAGAGACAGTTCTCTTCTACTTTAAACTGCTTTTGTTAATCTTATGCAAAACTACAGACACAGCAGCGGTATGATAAAGTAATGGAACCAGCGGAAAGGAAGGACAAGAAACTATCATTTAGAGCCAGGATCCTGAGCCAAAGGTTCAAAAGGAAACAGAGTAAAAGACACTGTTGGACCAGGATAACTGGTCCAGGACTAGTGTGTGGAAGAGTTTTCTAGTCCAGAAAGTCTACTCATCAACCAAAGCATTTCTCTGTGCCACAATCTGAGATACTGGATGTTATAACATGGATGACTCTTAATTTATTATGTTTTCAATATCTGTTACTTAAATGTTAACCGTGTAAAACCTTTCATTAGTTCTACTTCTCAATAGTTATGTGCAAAAAATATCAGACAAATGCAAAGATAGAGTCTGACCATTTCTTAAACTTTATAGCTCCTTTTGAACATATAACTGCTTAGGGCAGCAGCAGTTTAGGACCTCATCAGGAGAGGAAGTCACAGTGATGACATGAACACTTACAAGTTTGCTAAAACAATGAAAAAGTTTTAAAATGTTAAGTGACACATGCTTTAAAATCAGATTGCTCCAAGTATCATCTTGCCTTTTTTAATAATGCTAGTCCAGGATTTGCTATACTAAAGCCCAGACCTCTAGCCATTTTAATTTTCATTCTCTGAACTGAGACCAGACCAATACAAGAAAGATACGTAAGCTCTGAGTTGTTTTAGTTTTTTCAGGGGTCTGGGATGAGCAGGCATAAGGACACTGGGCATCCCAGAGAATAAAAGAAAGCTTATCAGAAAATAACTTGTGCTATCAGTGGTTCTCAAACATTTGTATTGGTGACCCCTTTCACACAGCAAGCCTTTGAGTGCGACCCCCCCCTTATAAATTAAAAACATTTTTTTTATATTTAGCACTATTATGAATGCTGGAGGTGAAGCAGCGTTTGGGGTGGAGGCTGACAGCTTGTGACCCCCCCCCCCCACATAATAACCTTGTGACCCTGTTTGAGAACCCGTGCTATAGAATGGCATTGAGGTGGATACTGAAAGCAAAAGACATCAAGCCAAGAGTTATTCAAGCACTGCATAAAGCAAGAGGAAAAAAAACTTAATTCAACTTTCATCCATACAACTCTCTCATACAAGAAACAAGGGGAAATTAAATAAAATTGGCAGATTCATAGCTTACAGAAGAATTTTTTTTTTTTAAAGTACAACAATCTGTAGAACTCATCAATTTCATGGTTTCCTGGTTCAGAGCTAATGTCCTGATTCCTCTGACAGATGTTGGTAGTGTGTATTCAAGCAGGTCTCATTTACACTCATATGATGGCATATGCTAAAGGACCAAACACAGCCTTGAACTCTAACTTAATACAACAGAAATCATTTCTTGCCATGTTTGTGGCTAAAGCATCCAGAAGGGGTCTACACACCTTCCCTGTTGGCAGCTAATGTGATCATGATCACATGGTCAAAGAACTTGTGTTGCTGAAGATTGTCTATATCCTAGTAACTTTCCATTGGGTGGTTTCAAACACTTTCAGGTGCTCTATAGTTTGCTAGGGTGCCAGAGAAAAATGCTCAGTGATGAGAAACCCACAGTCTATGAATAATTTCAGTGTCTTTGCCATAAAGGTGGGTGACTGGCTGATTACTGCAGGTTTCTCAAACTATGCAACCAACTGCAAAGTAACAAAATACTCTAACCTGCTAAAATTTCACTAACAGGGCTAGCAAGACTTACGACAACCTATGAAGCCGAAGAGTTCCAAAAGGGATAGACATTAAATTAGTAATGCTGGTCAGGAAGTAACACTGAAGATACTATCTGCAAAGCTGCTTTATGTTAACTTAAAATTTTCAGACTGAGGTCCTTCCTCCCCCCTTCTTTGCAAACAGGACAGCCTGCCCTCTCGTGGGAGAGAATGCGGTGGGGTCTTGACCTTAGATTCTTAAGGTATTTGGTTTGGCAGAAATGTTGGACTCTCGGGCTGATACTTGAAGCAATAGCAGGAAACTCTATCCAAAGAAAGGGACAAAAAGGCCATTTTAGGGAGGAAACTCAATGGCACCTAGAGGAGTTGAACTTACAGAGGAAAATCATCTTCCACAATTCAGAAGCCTCCTTAATAGTTTTACTGAGAATGGAGTCAAATAATTTATCAACAGGAAAGTGCAGGTTAGTGAAAATAAGATTTAGAGACAATATCAATTATCCCATTACATAGCTATAAGTGCCCTTATATAGTGATATTAAGGACAGACACCCTAACAAATTTTTTTCAGTCACTAAAAAAAGAAAAATTCACAGTCAAACCACAAAGCAAAGACAGTAGAAATGAAAGGACACTGAGAAAGTTAGTGCACCAGCAGCCTGATGGAACTTGTTAAACAATTTATTCTTTGAGGGCCTCTATGATTCCCATTTGAGGTATAGTGTCCTGATGCCTTAAACATGCAGAATCCTCTTTAAAGCAGAGTCTTATGGGGCTACAGGACTGCTTCCTTGTAATGGCACCCATTCAGCACACAAGACTATATAACGAAGCATAGCCCCCAACTACCTCAGTGCTTTCTCTGCTGCCTTACAGCACAAGGGATGTATGCTGGTCATCTGCCTTAGCAAATCTTAGGCTGTACCCCATTCAGTTTTTATAAAGTTTCTTACATGCTCCTCTATATTTCCCCACATCAAGCACATCTGTTGCCTGACTTATTTGGGTGAAGCCCACTCTTCTGCTCCATACGTAATCTACAAGGCCATTACACTATGTGCACGCTGAGACTTCAGACTTACCTCCCTGGGGAAGCCATAAGATTCATACGGAGACCTCAAGGACCATGCGTCCACATGCTGCCCAGATTGGCTAACCTCAGCAATAAAGCCAATTAATGAGCTAAGCTGTTGGCTTCAGCTTTGATACCTACCTGAGTCAGGGCATTAGCCTGGTATCCTCTAAGTCCATAACTCCATCCACTCAGAGCTGAAGAGCCCCAGCCTCTGTGGTGCTATCCAGTTAGTTTTGCAAGGAAAATTGCTCAGATGGAAGGCTATTATAAAAAAGAGCTACTAAAGAAGAGTCCACCTTTAAAGCATCAAACATGGCTGTATGCAAAGATGTACTGGGATACAACTTTTCCTGAAAAGGCAGAGCCCTTATTGCCAATCAAGGTTCTCCCAATTGTTCTGTATCATAATAGTAATGATCAAGTCATGTATAGAAAAGGAAAAAAAAAAGTCATCTCTTACCCATGGTCTATCCCCACCCAGTGGTTTGACAGAGGTAGATGGAGCGGTGTTCAGTTTTAAGAGTCATTGTCATGCACTCAGAATTCAATTGGCAGCTTGTGTTTGGGTAATACTCCAAACAAGGGCACTCCAACTCAGAAATGTCAGAACACTTCACCCCCTCTGCAGAACCAGAGCTTAAACCGGGGATAGTCAATTATTTTTTTGTTAAGGTCCATATTTCTTGGTCAAGGTCCAGACTCCAGAGAAAATTTAAAAAAAACCAATAATAATAAATAATAATAAAAATAATAAGTAAATAAAAAGATTTCAGGGTCTGTTCAAAAGTGTCTGGCGGTCCGCATTTGTCTTGTGGTCTGCTTATTGACTACCCCTGGTTTAAACTAATCCTGCCTAAAGATTCTGACAAAGAAGAAAGCCTCTCTCCATCTTAGGGACCCCCAGGACTGGGGGGACCCACAGAGGCATAATTATACAAGGGTAGATGAGACACCAGGAAAGAGGAAAGGGAGAATGAAGGAGATACCCAACCATATCACAACATTCCCAGGATCCCCAAAATCCATCCGGGTAGAATTTCATATCTTATTTTCTTTCTGCTAATTCAGAAGAGGAATCAGGATTAGATGCAGAGAATTCTGATTACTCTGTAACCTAGCCCTGCTTTCTCTCTCATTCGTCCTGTTATAATTTCTACTTAGCTTTGTCTGATTTTAATGAAGGGCATTAAGATGGTCCCTGCTGGTTGCTTCTGAAGTCCCATGGTGAGAGGACCACCAGTAATTATTTACTATTTGTTAAGCACACAGACTGTGCTCTGTAAGACACAAAGGAAGCCACCATCCCTGTCCCAATGAGTTTACTATCTAAATTGGGATAGACACAGACACAGGCAGAGGATCTTGCTAACTTAGAAAATCCTCTTTAAACAACAGGAAAATCCATCAAGAGTGTCCACAGAATTTTGCAGACAAGCATTTGTGGGCCTCTGAAAAACCTCCAACAGGAAAATCCCAGGAGTGGGAACCTCGTTGTAAACTTGCTAGTATAATTGATAATCCACACTTGCACAATACAGAACATGCCTTGTTAATTAAATGAAGGAGGAATTTCATCTCCAACTAGGATTGAGGTGAAAGGTTTCTAACAAGACAGGCCATCTGCAACAAAGGATGTTTCTAGACAGACAGGACTTCCTGGGATGATCCAACTGATAGGGAGAAGTGTCCTGGTAGCGCTAAAGACTACACAGAAAACCAAGAAGGGTTCAGTAGGACATTCCAGTAGCACTAGGATGATCGAGATAGCTTTAAAAAGAACACAGAGTGGAGAAGACTCACTGTTTTTGGTTAATGGAAATATCTGGGTTGTGCGAAGACTCCCCTAGGAGAATTCCCATCCAAAAAGGAATAAAGGACTTTCTTTAGGAGGGTGACAAAAAACATATGCAAGATTCTGCATCCTTATATGGATGGGAACCTACCAAGACAGATCATCCAAACAGCCTGCCTTCAAGAACAGCTCCCTTCCTCAGAGTATAGGCTGTACTGGTGAAGAGAGGAATGAAAAATTAATGTCCCCAATGCTTATTTTAGAAAGGTTGTGGGGTTTTTTGAAATCTGTTTATTAAAAGAAAAATATGTTTATCTTTACCTTTATATAGCAGTAGTAGTGTCCTGCATGACAGCTGAAACCAGTATGCACCAGGACTGCATATAGAACATAAATGATTGGTTCTCCATTTGGTTGAGACATATATGGTCGAATATCCAGATACTCAGGATATTTCACTTCCTAAATAGAGATAGAAGAGAAGGCTCAAATTTAGCTGAAATATTTTATGAACTATTATAAAAAATTTGAAAAAGACTTCAGATGCTGAGGTAGAAAACATTTCTAAAATATACACACAAAATGGATCAAAAGCATACATATAAAACAAAAGTGAGGATTCAGTTTCATTTGGAAAATGACAGGTTGAAAAATGTCCAACACTGAATAGCAGAACAGTCTGCTAAAAAGGCAGCTCTTGAAGGGCACAGGAGGATGTTTATTGTTGGTTTCATGTTTATTGTTAAAATGGATCTCTGCTATTACCAGACGAGAGAAGGAGAAGATTAAGTTATTGGGTTTATTTTTCTACCTAACAGCTGGCATCTACAATCTAGAGTTGATGTGTGTATGCATTAATTGGCTTTGTATGGTCACTTGGTATTAGAAAAATCTAAATATTAAAAAAGATGCAGTTGTAACACCATTTTATGTACCTTGGTAATTTTTCCACCACTAAAATTTGCAAACCGTTTCAGAGACAATGTAAGAACATTAGAAGACCGATGTATTGTAAACCTCTTTGAAGCAGGAACCATCTTCTTACACCTTAAAAGCAAACACAGACAATTGGTTAACCTTATGCGGATTTTTAAGCATTTATATCATGTTTTCCATGGCTCAGACACTTGTCTACATTATCTGAGTAATTATTTCTTTACACGCAATGATTTTGCTTTTCAGAAGTTCATATACAACATTTCCGGCATAGCTAGTACAAGAGACAGCAGAATACATGAGGGCAGTTCTCTAGGACAAATAGAATACAGGCTCTAGAAACTTATCTTTTGACATCCAAACTAATATTTGAAGACATCTGTAAATCTCTGTGATGCCAACAAAAAATAAAGCTTGCCAGCAACTCTCACAATGCAGCAAGCAGCAGCCTTCTCACTACAGCATTCACGGTCTTTGGAAATAGCTTAGGAAAATGTAAAAAGGTGCAGCACTTCTAATATTACAAAAAGTTAAATCAGACTTCAGGCTTCCTCCTTTCAGCTTTCTGCCAGAGTGCAGAATACCAAAAGCGTAACTGAAAGAAGGGAACATCGACTTCAATCTGGGGCTGGGAAGAGCACATATGAACTTCCAAAATGGATTTAATCTATCTTCAATAAAAAGAGGCAAACAATTGTCCTACACTATAAGAACTGTTGACAATCAAGACTGTAACCACTACCTTCCTGTACTGAGACTACCTGGAGAGGAAAGAGAGTGAAGCATCTGATTTCCTTTGAAAAATGACTCCTAAACAGCCTGAATGTAAATGTGATGGATCATTACTCATCAATGACAGGATCTGCAGGATTAACCAGTGGGATCCAGCTTCTACCACAAAGGAAGGGAGACTAGTAATAATATGACTTGGCAGCAAACAAGGGGTGGGGAATTAGAGAAAAGGCTATCTTTCTAGATTTATGCCCCAAAATACTGGACTGGAGAGGGGAATTCCTACCCATGAAGAGCATTTACTGACCAGAATGTCAAGAAAGTTTCACAGAATTATATACAAAACTTAGGTTGGATATTCAAACAAACTGTAGTTTGTGGGCTTTAAAATTAGTATAAACCTAGCCAACACAAACTGAGAAGATATCTGAGTTTCCTCAGAGGAGTTAAGTTGAAGAAAGAGTTCCCAGAAATGGAAAAAGCCCTGTAGAGGTCAGCAGGGTGCTTTTTAAAAAAAATATATGTTTTTAAACCCCATTGAGAAGAGGGAAGCTTGGGGCCTCAAGTTTGACCAGACTATAGACCCCTGCAGATTATACATATGGAGGACCACACAACACAGAAATGGGATACTCCTTAAGCCCACGGTTGTTAGATATGCTTCCCATCTATGATCTTTACACCATCAGAATTCATTTTGTGTTTGTAGTCTGCAGATCCTAGCGAACAAGGGAAAACCTGGATTTGAACCTTTTTATTTCATCTACTGGATACCTCATTTTAGCATAACAAAAGAGATACTAACTAAGTGCATTTGGAGGAAAATGTTGGGTAAGGATACGATTTTGCCACAGAGGTCAAGGATTCTGTAACTTTAACGGACCGCTGTGACCTCAGCCCCCGCCAGAGCAGCGAAGCCAGTTGCCCGGGGGACTTCTATGAATTTTAGTTTATTGTCTGTGACTTTTACTAAAAACACCTATGACAAAATCTTAACCTTACTAATTAGCCATTAATATTCTACCTCTAGTGGCAGAACATGGGCTTCGTTACATTAATAATTTAGAGATGAGGCAAGAACATTAGAAGACGAAGTTTAGTAAATCTCTTTGCTTAGCTGCACTGAGTTAAAATTATGACCTGTTTTGCTACTACAGTAAAAGCTGTTTTATCTGGCACTTCACCAACCGGAAACTCTATAAACCAGCAATTCGGATCTTCATTGAAATACTGGTTTATAATCCGGTTGGCGCGGGGCTGGCAGGGGGTTGGGGCACGGGAGGGGGTGTGGAGCATGGGCTCTGGGAGGGAGTTTGAGTGCAGGAGGCGGCTTGAGAAGCGGTGATCTGCCCGGGCTCTGGCTGCTCCTAGGCGGAGGTGGCTCTGCGTGCTGCCCCCCCCCCCCACATCAGTGCCAGCTGCGCAGCACCCATTGACTAGGAGCAGCCGAGACAGGTCGCCGCCTGCAGGGAGCCACCTGAGGTGAGTGCCCCCCGGGTCCAGCACCCCCCCACACACCCCAATCCGCTGCCCCGAGCCCCCTTCCGCAACCAAACTCCCTCCCAGAGCCCGCACTCCACACCCCCTCCCCTGCCCCAATCCCCAGCCCCGCACCCCCTCCTGCACCCAAACTCCCTCCCTCTTAGTTAACTGGCATTTTTCAGTTACCAGCACCCCCCATTTCCCACAACATGCTGGATAAAACAACTTTTACTGTATATCATCTTTGTACCTCTGTGTTCTTATCCAAATGTTTTAAACATGCAATCTATTTTTAAGATGCAAAAAGGAAGTTTGATCAATTTATTTATCTTTCTGTGTTATCTAGGACATGCTGTGTGTTCAGTGATAGCAGATTAGGTTTAGGATGGTTTATTTAACATAGCAGTAATTTATAGTCCACTTTTTTCACTTTTAAAATGGTGTGATTCAGTAACATGAGCAAAGTACTGTGTATACACAATAATAGTATATAAACACTTCGATGAGCCAAAATGAGTGCATCTCTTAGGAAATACCTCCCCACACCAAACCCTCCCAGAAGAACAATTAGGGAACTGGCCTTCTCAAAAAAGGTTTTCCAAGTTTTAGATGTTTTGTATTATACTTGCTTGGGTACAACAAATGAGATTTTACCTTACACAGAGTTTCTGAATTAAGCAAAACATCAATAACTTTTTAAAAATGACATGCAATAATACATCGATAGAACCAAGCATCTAGTATTAAGATGTCATTAATATTCATCTTACTTGCTACATTTATAGGCATTTTCACCATCCAGTTGTTCGGGCTTCACAAACTGTTCCAGAGCTTTGTTTACACTCTGAGCTGTCTAAAACAGTAAGATAACAGTGCAATGCATTAGAATATAACATATTAAATGCCATACTAGGTCAGACCAATGGTCCATCTAGTCCAGTATCCTGTTTTTCCGACAATGGCCAATACCAGGTGCTTCAGAGAGAATGAACAGAACAGGCAACTATCGAATGATCCATTCCCTATTGTCTACTTCGAGCTGCTGGCAGTCAGAGGCTAGGGACACCAGAGCACGAGGTTACATCCATGATCATCTTGGCTAATAGCCATTGATGGACTTATCCTCCATGAGTTATCAGAAACATCATAAGAACACACCACATGCTCACTTTAACTTACAGTAGTATGAACTAACATGATTTTAATGGAGAGCCACTACAGACTACTGAATTTGTGGGCGGGGGGGATAGAGAGAGAGACACGGATTGCAGAATATATTACATCACAAAATGTACTCTGTTCACTTTGACAAATATAGATGAGGTTTAATTATTTATAATATATTTCATAGTACAGTAGTAATGAGTCTGTGGTACATACTGTAAAATTAGTACACTAGTAATTGATCTGTGGTACATATATTGTAAAAGTAATAATGTTTTAACAATATGGACCCTCAGTTATAACATTCTGCAATTAAATCTTTGTTGAACTGGGAAGTATAAGATAGCATTGCCATGCCTGTGGATTCAAGACTTCAGAATGATATTCTATTTTAATACTTGTCCAGATTAAGTAAGCCATACACAGCCCATTTATATTGATAAGAGAAAGTACAGTATAAGTCACATCCATCACAGAACTATGTGGGTAGAATCAACTTAAATTCTGCATTTTAAATTTTCAAAAGCTATGCAGTTAATTAAGGGGTTTTCTTTTTAAAACGTATTCAGCTAGAGTAACAAAATAATTTACCTTTATCTCCAATGTAATATCAAGGTATGGATCGAAGGTATCTGAGACTCCTTTGCAGTTCATACACTTTACTGAAATCAAAATATAAATACTTAACACAATAAGCATAGTTAGTCTATTGCCTAAGTTATTAGCACACATTACCTTAATTAGCATTTAAGTCAGGGTAGTCAACAGGCAGACTGCGGGCCAAATCCGGACCGCTAGATGCTTTTGAACAGACCCTGAAATCTGTGTGTTTATTTATTATCATAATTGTTTTTTTATTTTCTTCTCTGGAGTCTGGACCTTGACCAAGAAATTAACAAGACAAAAAAAATAACTGACTAACCCTGGTTTCAGTCATATAATACAGTCATAAGGCCAAAACCATTCCTAAAGAAAATTTTTTTTAGAAAAGTACCTCTTGATCTTAAGTACCCTCCAAATATTTGATAGATGAGTGTGGTAGCTTGGGTATGTCTGTCCAATCTGAAAATAAATTATGCAGTGATTAGAAGATTAAAGTCAATTTATTTTTTTCTGTGAATGTTTCCTCTTTTGAAAACCCAGAACATGTACTGTTCTATTTACAGGGAAACAGGAATAGGAACGACAGCATATTCAAATATTATTTTGTTGGCACTTACTTGTTGCTTCCATTCAAACATGCTTTCTGCATAGCATCAACAGTGTAGCGTAGAAATTCATGTGCATCTTCCTGATTTCCAAACCGGAAATGTTTTGCTATCCCTAACAAATAAATATAAATGTTACATTGCATGTCTCACATGTGAAAATGGATGAAAATAAAGGTTTTTTTAAACTTTCCTTCATAAAGTTATTAAAAAACCCTAAGTTCTATAAACTACAATTAAAATCAGACAAATAAACAAGGCAATAAAATATCTAAACACAAAAATGGCATTTTACAAATAAATTATTTGAAATTACTTACGTCTAAGATCATTGATGACAGCCATAGGTTTGATAACATTGCCAGAGTTAGAGAGCGCCTGCGTAATGTGAGCTTGCATTGTACACATCATGCAGAATCCTTGTTCATGGCCTGAGGAGTGAAGCAACATTGCATCTCAAATTAATGAAATATTTATCTATGGAAGACCTCAAAAAATCTTGAGGTTATAGGAACAATCTCCACAAAAAATATTATTTCAAAACAGCTGACAATTAAGAACAGGTGGAAAACCTATAATGATAGGTTAAAAAATGGAAACTAAAAAGGGTTCAATTCACAGAAATAGGTAAAGTTAGGAAAGAGTTAAACACAAAATGAAATAATTTAGGATAAAGTAAAAAACTGAAATGGAAAACCAAAAAAAATCAATCTTATGTTGCATCCCTTGCCCTCTCCCACTTTTGTCTGCATATAGCCTATTTAGAGTATAAGCTCTTCATAGCAGGGACTTGTCATCTTATACGTACATCAAGTGTGTAATGTTTTTGGGTGCTATATACTTTTTAAAAGTACTCACATGTTTTGGAGTGTTCATGAGAAAGCATGTAGTTGGCAAGAGGGGGTGTATAAGTCAAACACTGTAGAGCAGAGTTGAGGAAACATGTATTGCCAAGATTTTGGAGTCCAGCTCCAACTCTATGCGTTTGCTGCCATTTCAAACAAATCTTCTCTGCTGGAAAAAGAACCTTCTGTGGCGGAGCAATGCCATCACTAATAGCTGCCAAAAAAATACCAACACATTTTAAAGATATTAAATCGTTTAATGTTGAAATCGTGCTAAAGTAATATTACCTTATGCATGAGCATCTAGAAGAACTTTAACAGAACTAATTATAATAATCTACATTCTAGTAGTTACTTGATGAGTAACGTATTAAAGACTGCCTCAGTGCCACAAAGCAAGGTCTCAAGTCAACTCAAGCTCAGTAAAAAGATATGGTTTTGTATGCCAATTGGAAAAAATTAAGACACTAGAATGCACTAATGTGGAACAATACAACAGAGACTAATTATTGCCCAGATTTCAGTAACCTAACTAAGCAAATCCTTTTCTATCTAGCTTCCTCAATCTGACTCTCAATTCAAATTAATCTTTTTTTTCCTTATTGTAAATTACAAAGGAAAACTTACACTTTTTATGGTTTATTAATTATAAATATGACTGGATACCAAAGTAAGCAAGTAACAAGCACAATAAGTAGCCCTTAATGATAGAATCATAGAGTCATAGAAGTGTGGCACTGGAAGGGACCTTGAAAGGTCATCTAGTCCAGTGTTTTTCAAAGTTTGGGTCGTGACTCAGTACTGGGTCACAGCATGTAAGGCACTGGGTCGTCTTGCTCAGCACCCAGGGATTCTAGTGGCTCCGGTTAGCACCGCCGACCGGGACGTTAAAAGTCCTGTCGGCGGTGCTGCCCAGCCAAGGCAGGCTAGTGCCTACCTGTTCTGACACCGCGCTGCGCCCCGGAAGCGGCCAGCAGCTGGTCCGGCTTCTAGACAGGGGGCCATGGGGCTCCGCGCGCTGCCCCCATCCTGCGCACTGGCTCCGGACTCCAACTGACTGGTTCTCGGCCAATGGGAGCTGGCTGGGGCAGTGCCTGCGGGCGAGAGCCGCTTGCATGCCTCCACCTAGGAGCTGGACCTGCTGCTGGCCGCTTCCGGGGTGCAGTGAGGTCCGCGGTGCCAGGACAGGCGGGAAGCCTGCCTCTGCACCCCGGCTGCGCCGCTGACCGGGAGCCGCCATAAGTAAGCCCGCACCCCAATCCCCTGCCCCAGCCCCGCCCAGAGCCCCTTCCTGCACCCTAACCCCCTCATCCCCGGCCCCACCCCAGAGCCTGCACCCCCAGCCCAGAGCCCTGACCCCCTCCCACACCCCAAACCCCTGCCCCAGCCCAGAGCCCCCTCCCACACCCCGAACCCCTCATCCCCAGCTCCATTGGGTTGCAGGCATCAACAATTTTCTTCAACTGGGTCGCCAGAAAAAAAGTTTGAAAACCACTGATATAGTCCAGTTCCCTGCACTCAAGGCAGGACTATGTAATAACTAGACCGGGGGTTCTCAAACTGTGGGTTGGGACCCCAAAGTGGGTCATGACCCTGTTTTAATGGGGTCACCAAGGCTGGCTTAAAACTTGCTGGAGCCCACGGCCGAAGCTGAAGCCTGAGCCCCACTGCCTGGGGCCGAAGTCAAGCCTGAGGGCATCAGCACTGGGTGGCAGGGCTCAGATTACAGGCCCTCTGCCTGGGGCTGAAGCACTTGGACTTCAGCTTTGGCCCCCTGCCAAGGGCGGTGGAGCTAAGGCTTTGTCCCGTCTCCCCACCTGGGGCAGTAGGTCTCGGGTGGGCTCAGGATTCGGCCCCGCCTCTGGGGTCATGTAGTCATTTTTGTTGTCAGAAGGAGGTCACGGTACAATGAAGTCCGAGAACCCCTAAACTAGACCATTCCTGACGGCGTCTGTCTAACTTGTTCTTAAAAACCTCCAATGAGAGATTCCACAACCACTCTAGGCAATTTGTTCCGGTGCTTAACTACCCTGACAGGAAGTTTTTCCTAATGTCCAACCTATACCTCACTTGCTGCAATTGAAGTCCATTGTTTCTTGTCCTATCCTCAGACAAGAACAATTTTTCACCCGCCTTCTGTGATGTGGATATTGACACCAAGTATTTTAGGAGGAATGTTATATTTCAGAGAACTCTAAATAATACAGGCCACAAAAAGCAACACTGATAAAACACATCCTTCTTTACAGAAATAAACACTTGACTAAATAAGTATACTATAAGTAATGGAGAAACACCGCCTCTGCCCCCCAAAAAGTTTGTTATATTGCTTGTAAACAGGTTCAAATTAAGTTCACAACATTGGCCATTTGAGCTCTCACACATGGTTCACAAGACTAGAATCTGCTGCTGCAGTCCTTAATCATAATAGTCCTATTTTATACCAATAGAATTACCCCAATGAGTAAGAACTGCAAGATGAGGACGGCAGGCCCTACTAAATGGCAGCTGGTTTTATTTTTTTCATAATTTACATGGGGGGACGGGGACAGGACATACTTACACTGATCTTTCTGAGATGAAGGCTTGGATTTATCAGGTACAGATGAACTAGAATAAACTGCAGCACCAGGTACTGGTCCCAAAGTGATCTTGTGCTTTGGAACTTCCAAAGATGATACAGCACCCCAACTTGCAGAGGCTGAGTCCATGTCTCCAGTAGAGGGTACCACGGAGCTACAAGGCTGCTTCTGACAAGCTGCAGGGTTTGAAGACTCAGATACTTTGTCAACTATGGTCATTGTTCATCTCTGTAACACAGAATTGAAAGTTCTGTTTAATATGAGATTATTATATAAAAAAGCACTCCACAAGGAAAAGAATGGTAACCCTTACACTTTCCCTTTAATGAAACTAATTATCTTTGCCAACGAGACACAAATAATTTAGAGGACTAAGTCTTTCATGTGAATGTTTCAAAAAATGCACCAAGACACACTAAACGAAGTTTTCCAGCTGAATTACACCACTACCACTTTTGACTTTCATGAGATTTTTTTCCAGTAACCAGCATTGTTTAATAGCAAACCCTTATGAAAATACCGCTTAGGTAAACTTTGCATTCAGCTTTGACTGCAACAGTATTTTTCCCCACAAAAGTGTAAACTGGTCAACCATTTTTGCATTTGATGACATTAAAATTTTGTAAAACAATTAAAGAGGAAATACTGTACAAAGGCTGAGAGAGAGAGACCAAAAAAAAATAATTTTTTTAGATGTCTTTTGCCAGGCTCTAGCATAAAGAGCATTTTAAAACATGAAATTTTAATCCATAAAGAAAAGTAAAAGTTTTGGTATAGCCAATATTGACTCAAAGAGACAGAGCCAATGTGTTATTAAAAATTTTCTGTCCTATGTATATAAATGAGCCTGTGATTAGCTAAGTTACCTGCACAATCAGAACACACAGCCACCATTCTGATCTCTCCTTTCCAAATGATGATTTACGATTTATATATCTAGTGGTATCTTGTCCCATTTTATATTTAGCATAACGAACTTGCATACAAACAAAAGGTACTTAAAAACTATACTAAGTTTTATTTAGTGGTGAAGTGTCCAAGTATGTATATCTTGAGCTTGGTTCCTTTTATTCAAGATGGCAAAATCTGGAAGCACTACAAAAACAATATGCTTAAGCCCGGACACTGGGAAAAGAAATGACTTTATTTGTCTGTCTGCTGCAGAACTGCTGATGGGCTCCAGAAGAAGGTATGTCTTACCCACTTAACATTTACGAGAACCACACAGCACAAGGACTTAGAGTGGGACATACCCAGAGGAATCCCCTCTGGGGATGGGATGGGGGTATTTCTTCCAGGATTTTTTCTGACCTTCAAAGAAATATTTGTTTGGACATAATTTTGGTAACAAATGCAATTTTAATTTAATCAATTTAACATATCACAGTTACAATTATTATTGAAAGATTAGACCAAAAGGTAGCTCTTTTTCCAGTTTGTTTACTTTGCGCATTTGACAGTAGTTTGTGCTAATTTTTCTGTAGAACAGAAGATACCTATTTAAAAGTTAAGGAAATGTGACAAACTGCAAATTGTCAGGGAAACTCGCGTGCAGGAGTACTAACTAGAAAAGTAATATTTTAAAAACTGACTAGATTTTGCGATGTTATCCCTTTAAATATGTGCTATTGAGCATGTGCAGTAAATATGTTACCACTTTCTATCACAACAAGTTTTATAGCAAGATTGTACATTATCTTATTTCAACATAAAGGATCTGATCTTGCAGCTTTTACTCACACAAGCAGCCCCATTAGCTTAACATAAGTAAGGGTGGCAGTATTTTTATTTGTTCTTGTGACGTGAATGAGATGGTATGTCTTAAACAGCTTTAAGATATGTGATGGAAGTGTTGTTTCATTAAAGTGAGGAGGTTAAATAAAGCAAACTAAGTTAACAGAGAGTGTCCAGGTTCTCACACAAAACCACAAATTCTGAGTAAAAGTCTTAATTAAATTATAGGGCTCATTCTACATGAAGATTACCAAGTATGCTTGGTAATATACCAGAATTATAGAGAGAAAATTTCAAATAGGCTCAAATTTTAATGACATGAGGGGGGTGGGCTCTGAATGCTAGTGGATTCACACTTTTAGACATTTCTATCCACCATTACTAAGAAGAAAATGCATAACATTGAAATGAAAGAATTCTAAGTAGACTTTATGGAATCATTTTATTGAGAAGTGGAGCCATCCTGATACTAAAAGATGACTTAGATTGAGGTCCCTGGCTCACTGTGTCTCAGATAAGATTCTCTCAACCACTAAGTTGCAGATGCAAGCCCTGATACACAATGTGCAAGTGCCATCCCCTTAAAAGTCAGTTTTTCATGTTCTCAATCAAAAGAAAAGATGCTTCAATAATATTCATCAATACACTGGGGGGGAATCAAGAGTGAAAGGAAATGAAAAAGAAAAGAATACCACCAAATAAAAACTGAATATTTTAAACAAAATAAGAACACTATAGTCAAGACTTATTATTTTTAAGCTTTTTTGAGAATTAATGATTGACAAATGCTTTGAAATTTCCAGATGCAAAGTACTACAGATGTGCTAGGTACTATTACTACTATTAATAAATTAAATCCATCACTTGTTCCGAATGTCTAACTTCTACTGTCCAAATTAAAACAGTTATCTCAGGATAACTTCTTAGGTCAATGAACTGAACAGCACAGGACTACAAATATTTACATTATCTCCTGCACACATATCTACAATTTTTTCTATCCCTGAAACCACTTGCTATTGTAAATTTATTTCCTTATACAAGCAATGACTTATAATATCTGCCCCAATATAGGATTAAGAAAGTAACAACAAATGTAATTACGTGCCACTAGAAGCAGCATGGAGTTTTGCATCACTGTTGTTAAGATCATGTCAGCAGTTCCATTAGAAACCACTATCAGTTTAACCTGACTGTAAACATTGGTCTGGCTGCATACTTGACACAAATCACAGCACCCAGGAACGATTACTTATATACAGTATACACATATATAAAATATATAAAACCAATATTTACAAAACTCTGTTTGGCCCTGTTTAAAATAATGCAACATAAAAAGTGTTTTAACTTCAGATATTTAAATTATATATCTTACCACATAAGAACCTTTTTCTAATTTAGACTGCACTCTTAAAAAATTCAAACATAAAATGGTAATGACTGAAAATTGATACATACCACACCTTTTCATGATTTTTAATATACTTATGTTAACATTGTGGAACCACATACTACTGATGTACAAAAAAGACCTTTACATTATAGCCATCTAACAACTGGGGAAAGAAAGTTGCATTCTAGTCTCAGCCTGATTTTAAAAATCAGGATTTTTTTTAAACAGTAAATAAAGAAATGTAAGGAAGAAGCAACAAACCATCAAAGCTAAGAAATACAAAATTAAGGCTATCATTCCATCCCTAATTGGAAGCCAATTATGTGTCACAACCTTAGAGTTACTGCAAAGAAACATTTTTCTATGTCTTATAAAGCACGCAGATACTTCACTTGAAAGCATTATGGTCTCACAGCATCACCTGTATGAAGGCTGTGCAAGTTAAACAATGGGAAAATCTGAAAAAAGGTACAAATTGAAGTCTTTCTCCACCTCCATTCCAAAGCTACAACTTGCTTCAAAATAGATCCAAAATGACTCAGTCTGTACCTTCATTCTGACTTCAGATCTCATCTGAACACATTTTTTCCCTTACAATTTCTCTCCCCCCACTAACATCTTATGCTTTCATTACTGACCTGGATACTTTCATTTATTCACACCACAGACTTATAACATCAGGGTTTTGGGTCATTTTACATCCATGGTCCTACTGTGTAAAAAGTATTTGAGGAGGAGGATAGAATGTGCATGAAGGATGCAGCCCAAAGTACTTTCCCAATTACACACAGTACATAAAGCACCAGTGAAATGAAGCCACCCCTAGAGGTAGAGGATGGCAGCCAGCTGGCACATTAGACATTGCACTGAAATATTTCGGAAAGAAAACATAGCTACAATTCTCTCTCCTTCTCCCTCCACCCCAAATATACAATCCCAGTATCAGTAATATATTCCTAATATCTAAAATATCAGATACAGCCTCCCTAGGGAAGGCCTATACTCTGCAGCAGCTGGGGAAATGGATTGGGTGGTTTAATGGGCCTTTTCCAACTCTATTGCCCATCCTGATCCTATTGTGCTGGTGCCATGAAATCATCCACACCAAACCCTGAACACTGCAGTCCAGATGTCATCTGTGTCTGAGAGTTAAATGGGGGACAAATTTTCCCCCCATTCTCCAAATTCAGTAGCAGCCACAGGGCCTACTTTGAGGGAGGGGTGGCAAAAGCTCTGGGCCTAGTAAGAGCAGATGGACCAAATACCGAGCGCCGGCCTCAGTTTGTTCCTCTCCCCCACATGTTAGGGCCTGAAGCCCAGACACTGAGCGAGGGAAGGAGGAGAAGCGTCTGTAAAGGAATCACCCATTTGAGAGACAGTGTCCATGGCAACCAAGCGGGGCGGTAACAGTACAAGAGAAGCGCCCCCCCGGAGAGGAAGAATAGGAGGGGGGGGTTCACGAGAGAATCCGCCCATCGCTAAGATGGGGGGCCGGGGGTAACGCCAGAAGCGGGGGGGAGATGGTACCACGAGACACCCCCCATCCGTGAGGGGGAGCAGCAGGTAACAAGGCCGGACGGGAGGAGGGAGCCCCACGCTGGACTTGGCGGAGGATGGGGCGGTTACCCGAATCTCTCAGCCCCGTGTGGCAGGGACGATGACCCCCGCCCTCGAGCGCATCCCTCATTACGAGGGAAGCGGGGGCGGGCAACTGGGCGCGGGAGCCGCAGGAGCGCGGCGAGCAGCGGGACACCCGGCTCCCGACGGGAAAGGGGAGTAGCCACCCGCCAGGGCAGGTCTCCCCGGGCCTGGCGGCGGCGAAGAAGCTGAATCCCGCCAGGCTCCTGGGGGCGGCGCCCTGCCCTGCCCAGGGGTCCCTCCCCCCTGTACTGCCCGCAAGGAGGGGGAAGGGGCTGGGTCCCGCTGCTCCGGGGGTGGGATGGGCCGGGCCCCCGCCAGCCAGCCCGCCCGCCGCGGCCCCTCCCCCGGCCCATTGATTTGTAGGGAGGGGGCAGCATGCGGCACTGCCGGGCTCCGCAAGGCCGCGGCGCGGCCCGTCTCCCTCCCCAGCCCCGTTACCTAGCTCGGCCCCGCTCGGCTCGGCGCTGCCGGGTCCCCTTCTCCGCAGCGCCCGCCTCAACCCGGCCGTTCCGCTCCGCCCCGCCCCGCCTCCTGTTCCAGCCCGTCGGGGAACAATGACGTCCCTCCGCCGGCCTCCTGCATCCGGGGCCCGGCGCCGGCCGGGGAGTGGGGGGGCGAACTCCTCCGGGTCACACAGGGACCAGCACCGCCCCTGCGCCTCCAGCGAGAACCGCCAGGGGGCGCTGCAGCGACCCGGCCCAAGCGCTGTCCTCAAAGGGCAGGGACTGCAAGGAGCGCAAAGGGCTGGAGCTTCAGGGAGCCGCAAACGCCAATTAAAGGAGCGTTACCAAACTACAAAGGCAACATTGGGCCGCAAACACGCCACTAGGGACCGTCGCCAAGCTGTATGGTCAACGTGGAGCCGTAAATGCCTGTTCACAGGCCATGATTAAACTACGGGAAGTGTGAGCTGCAGGGAACCACAAACACGTGCTAAGGAAAAAAGCTATTGCCAATCCCAACCAGACAAAAGTGAGTCCAGTACCCCTTGAAAATAACGATTAACTTTAAAATTATGAGATTTTAAAAGAAATCACATCTTTTAAAATCTGTGTTCAGTTTTTTAAGCCTTTGAAGTTTGAGGGGAGCCATCTATCCCCAATTTACACTGTATCATTTCAGGTTTCTAATTCAGCCTTAAATACACATACATACATGCAGGGCTCCCTGCTGGCTACTTGCATGAGGATTCCACTTAGCTTTTCCTAAACCCTGAGCTGGGAAGCTACCATTCTATCCTTTTCCTGTCCTGCCTTCCTCCCAGTTAACCTCACATTTTGCCTCCCTTCAGGGCTCAGACTAGGTGTACAAGCATCTTTTTTTGTGCTGCTATCTTGTACTCAAAAATCTAAGCTTTTGTTTTCTTTTAAAAGGAAGTTTCAAGTGCTTACAGTTGATGCCATACACTCAGGTCACATTTTTGAAGCTAACTGAACCTGAGACAATAGCTCTGAGATGTGTGAACTGCACCATTCATTTCAAAGGGTTCTAACACAGATGCTCAAGTAAAATTGTTTACATGTCATCATTGTCAAAATACATTTAATTGTCAACTATTTCACTGCTCATCAAAGCATGTCAGAAAAGAGAGGGAGGATCATATTAGGAAGATCTGCAATCCACAATTAATTACCTTTTTGACACAAAAATGAGTGAGCTCCTCCTTCCCCAAAAGAGTAGCCAACCCCAATAAACTAGTTAGTTTATTTAACTCTGTAGTGTAGACCAAGCCTTAGCAGAATCCAGCAGGGTGTCTGATGCTTAAGGCTGTGAGTCTTTCACAGGGGTCATGGAAGTCACGGATTCCATGACTTTCCGAGACCTCTGTGACTTCTGCAGCAGCTGACCCCAAGGCCGCAGGAGCAGCTGGGGCGGCCCCATGCTCAGGTAGCCCCAGGCAGTTGGTCCTGGGCACTGCCCTGGAGCAGTGGTCCGGGAGCAGCAGCGGCATCCCAGGCTGTGCCCCCCGCCCCCAGCAGCAGTGGTGGAGCCCCGGGCTGCCCCCCACTTGGAGTAGCAGTGGCAGCAGGGCCCTGGGCCATGGCCACCCGCCCAGAGCAGAAGCGGTGGTGGAAGGGCCCCGGGCCACCCCCACACAGAGCAGCAGCGGCATGGGGCCCTGGGCCGCCTCTTAGAGCCTCCCCTAGGATCAGCAGCATCCCTGGAAGCACCCCCCTCCCCTTCAGCAGCTAAGATTTAATTAGGAGTATTTTTAATAAAAGTCATGGACAGGTTACCAGCCCGTGTGACTTTTTGGTTATTGCCCATGACCTGTCCATGACTTTTACTAAAAATACCCATAACTAAATTGTAGCCTTACTGATGCTCCATAAGAGCAGTTCAAGCTCAGAAAGCCCAGTGGAGCACAGAAGCCAGCCTAGGCAGAGCTCATTGGTGTATTTGGCTGCTATTCAGGCTGTGTCTACACTATGGAGACTATGTTGGCATAACCATGTCAGCATAGCCCACTAATGTAGATGCAGTATACACCAACAAGGCGTTTTTTTGTAGAAACACTGTCTCCATAAATGGCATTAGGTATGTCAGCAGAAGCCCCTTCTATCAGCATAGCTGTGTCTATGCTGGGGGTTTTGTTGGGTTAGCTATGTCAGTCAGGGGTATGTATTGATTCACACCCCTGACAAATGTAGCTATGCTGATATAACTGAGGACCAAGCCTCAGTTCTTTAGGCTGAGCCCAAGAAACACAGAGACCATGCATCTTGATAGTTTGAATATATATGCATAATCAACTGTGAATGCAGGCAGAGAGCACCAATAGCATTTTTTTTTTTTTTAAGATTTGACTGTTTCATGCTCCCACGCAATCTCCTATTCCTCACCTGCGCTTCACATTCACTTGCCCCTATATTTTTCCTTCCTTTCAGTCAGTTTCCTACAACTTACATTTTCCTTCTCTGACCCACCTTATTCTCTTGCATCCCCTCAGTCTCTCTCTTGCTGCACATTCCCCAACATCCCTCTTCTATGTCCTTGCTAGTCCACTCATTCCCTTGGCACCCCTACAGTCTCCTTTCTACCCTCTTCACATTCCCCTGCATGCCCCTCAGACTCTCTCCTGCTCCCCACATTCTCATATGCCCCCTGAGTCTCCCTCCTCGTCCTCACATTCCCTTGCCCCCTCACAGTTTCCTATCAAGTTTCCTAACCTTTGTTGATGGCATCCTAGCTTCTATCCCATTGAAACCAATGAGAGATGTCACCTACTGAAGAAAATGGGACTCTGAGTTTAGCATACTTACAGATGCACTGAACAAAATGGGCATAGTTCTCATTCTCTCTCTCTCTCTCTCTCTCTCACACACACACACACACACACACACACACACACACACACACACACAGAGACAGACATACAAAGCAGATAATGGGGTTCTGAGGGGTTCACAAAGAGTGGAGAATGGGGCTTAAACTAGGCTGAATCATGCTGGGTGTAAAACTACATATTTTTTGTTTGTTTGAGAATATAGTATTCTCAGCTTTCATTCTTCAGTCTCTAGTCTTTGTGTAACCAATGCAGTGACATATGTATGAATTTGCAGAGAGCCTGAAACAATAGCTCAGAGGCAGTGAGGAGAACTGTCCTGTTCCTCTTTATGGCTACATCTACACTGTGGTTGGGATCTGTAATTCCCAGCTTGGTTAGACATACACATGCTAGCTCTACTTGAGCTAGAATGCTAAAAATAGCAGTGTGGCTGCAGTGGCTTGGGGCACTGCTATTTTTAGCTCACTAGCTCAAGAAGCAGAGCTAGCATGTGTACGTCTACCTGACCTGGAATTATACCTCCCAGCTACAGTGTAGACATGCCTATAGGGTTTTAATTCAGATTAATTACAATAATTTAAATATCAATGTTAACTGTTTGTTAACAGAAGAAAAGAGAGAGAGACCATTATGAAGATCTGCATAGACTTTTGTGAGTGACAGCTTGGTCTCACTAGTGGCTGGTGCTTGGGATATAGTGGCACTTTTATCCTATTAGTCTGACTTGTAGAGCCAAAAGGCCAGAGGAGAAGATCAGAGCTAGGGTTGCCAAGTGTCCAGTTTTCGACTAAAACCCCTGCTCAAAAAGGGACCCTGGCAGTTCCAGTCAGCACTGCTGACCGGGCTGTTAAAAGTCCAGCTGGAGGCGCAGCAAGGGCTGGTAGGCTTCCTGCCCGGCTCCATGCTGCTCCCGGGAAGTAGCCGGCATGTCCGTCTCCTAGGCAGAGGGGCACCACGGAGGCGCCGCGCACTGCCCCTGCTCCGAGCGCCAGCTCTGCAGCTCCCATTGGCCGGGAAATGCGGCCAATGGGAGCTGGGGCGGCAGCGCCTGCAGGCAGGGGCAACGCGTGGAGCCCCCGGGCGTGCCTCAACCTAGGAGCCTGAGGGACATGTCGCCGCTTCCCAGGAGCCGCCTAAGGTCAGCTCTGCCAGAGGCTGCACCCAGAACCCTATCCCGTGCCCCAACCCCCGCCCCAGCTCAGAACCCCCTCCTGCACCCAAACTTCCTACCCCAGAGCCCGCACCACACACTCTCTCCCGCATCCCAACTCCCTGCCCCAGGCCAGAGCCCTCTCCCACACTGTGAACCCCTCATTTCTGGCCCCACCCCAGAGCCCACACCCCAGCACAGATCCTGTACCACCTCCCACACCCCAACCCCATCCCAGCCCAAAGCCCCCTCCGACACTCTGAACCTCTGGGCCCCAGCCCGGAGCCCCCTCCTACATCCCAAACCCCTCATCCCCAGCCCCACCTGAGAGCCCGCACCCCCAGCCTGAGCCCTCACCTCTGCCCCAGCCCAGAGCCTCCTCCCGCATTTCGAACCCCTCAGACTCAGCCCTGAGCCCCCTCCTGCACCCCAAATCCCTCATCCCCAGCCGCACCCCAGAGCCCACACCCCCAGCCGGAGCTCTCACTCCCTCCCGTACCCCAACCCCCTGCCCTTGCCCAGTGAAACTGAGCGAGTGAGCGAGGGTGGGAGAGAGCAAGTGACGGAGGGGGGATGGAGTGAGTGGGGGCTGGGGCCTCAGAGAAGGGGCGGGGCAGAGGGTGAGACAAGGGCATTGGGTTTTCTGCATTTAGAAAGTTGGTAACCCTAATCAGAGCCCAGGAGGGAGCTGAGGCCCATCAAGGGCAAACCAGTCCCGAAGAGTCCAACCTGGCATCCTAATTCCTAACAACTTCACAGCAAGCCCAGTTCTCACACTAGTGCAGCAGGGGCCTAATCAGATCTGGTAGTGGGTGTGAGTCCAGGTGGCTTTCTCCTTGGTTCTAGTGGCTGCTGTTACTCTCTCTGTCGGAAGTTATTTGCAGTCTCAGGCAGACATCACTGCATCATGGGTCACATTTTAAAGATTTTTTTTCACTATCATGAGGGCTAGAAACTTACAGATATAAATACGTTTTTTAAATTAAAATTCAGGCTCTGATGTCATTGCATGATTCAGGAGCCAGGGCCCTATGCCATGTTCCTGTTGTTTTTATG